TTCACATTCATGACCAACCGCTTGAACTTTTGCTCTGTGCTTTATTGGCGATCCATGCTTTCTAACGAGCACGAATGAGTGATCAGCAACTACGTGAGCGTTCGTTATAATCCTTCTTCCCGAAATTACAAATCCTACATCAAATGGCAAAACAACGATTCAAAGCCAAAAACCATGCCAAGATACAAACTTTAACACCTCGAGCAATTCCAAAATGCTACAAAAATCCCAAAATGTAAACTTTTTGGTCACTGAAGACTTAACTATGGAGCCAAAATCAATTTGACAATCTGTAATTAACAAAAACTTATAAAACAGTTAAAAAAATTCTGCAATTCAAGTCAAAAACCATGCCAAGATACAAACTTTAACACCTCGAGCAATTCCAAAATGCTACAAAATTCCCAAAAATGTAAACTTTTGGTCATTGCAGACTTAATTAACTAAAACTTATTAAACAGTTCAAAAAATTCTGAAACTTTGAGTTAACAAAAATTTGGTTTTTGGAAATGTAGAAGACAGATTGATTATACATACCAGAGCCCATGGATTCTCGTTGAGACTTATTCTGCCAAGGAAGGAAGTAACTAGGACTCGTGGAAACGGTGAAGATCTTCACCACCGAGTCAAGCGCCAAATCTACGGCAGAGGAATACGCCGGCGAGTTTGGCGATTTAATTCCGGATTTTTTCCTCCGCCGTGAAATCTTTCTGATATTAATCCGCTGTGGAGAAACCGGTGATGACGTAGTCGTGTGCTGATTCTCATTTGGCGAATTCACGAGCGAAGAGTAACAGAAGCGAGAAATTGGAGTGGAGAAAGCAGTCTCCGTTGTTGTTACTACTCTGTGTGGTAGGTAGCTTCGGAGAGCATTGCAACGTTGTGAGAAAGAAGGATAAGTAAGAGACGACGAAACTGAAGAAGCGGAGATTCGGCGGAGGTGCTCGACGGTGCGAATTGACCGGAGCAGCATTTTCTCCGATGCTGCTTTGTTGGGTTCTGAAAAGAGTTTTAAGCGGCTAGGTTAATTTTTTTAACAGAGTTTGTTAACCGATTCGTACCGACCGGTTTAATCTGGTTTGAGTTTAAATGCAATTAAAACCATAGGATTAACTCACCATTCTGGGTGTTCAATCCGGATATCGGTTCGGTTTCGGTTCGGATTTTTTGATATTCGGTTTTTCGGTTAATTAAAAACAGCTACCATATTAGAACCATACTTAGTTGGGGAAATTTCAAAACTACACCTCTTCAGGTGCAAATTTTTAAAAATACACCTCTATGGTGTTTATTTTCAAAACTACACTTTCATGGAGTAAAAGAACTCTAAACCCTAAAATATAAATCCAAAACCCTAAAATCTAACATTGAACCCTTAAATCTAAACCCTAAAACCCAAAATCTAAACCCTAATCTAGGATTAGTGAACCCAAACATATATATTAAAATTAGAAAAAGGTGTATTTTTGAAAATTTTCACACTATAGGTGTAGTTTTGAAAATTTGCACCCCAAGAGGTGTATTTCATAAAATTTCTCTACTTACTTCGGTTTGAATATTTTCGGTTCGAATAATCTCGGTTTTCGGGTTATTTATACTTTTTGTTTGATTATTATTTTATTATATAAATATTGTAGTCTTTCTTGTAATGGAATGATCAAATTCAAATATGAAAATGCAAGTTCATGTCTTATTTTAAAATATAAAACTCTAAAGATTTTAGTATCTAGGGTTTGTTAATTGCTAAATTTTGGTAAACTAAAGATATATAATTCTATATGAGATTACTCTAAACTTATATTATTATATATCATATGTGTATATTATATACTATTATATTAATATATAGAATTATTCGGTTTTGTGGTTCGGTCGGTTAATATCCAAACCATATCAATATCCACGGTTTATATAAAATTGCATTCATACGGTTTATACGATGTATCGAAATCCAAACCACATGACCTATTTCGGTTCGGATCAGATTGGTTCGGTTTGGTTTTACCAAATTGAATTTCTGAATGCATTTCATCCATATCACACTCTTTTGATCTATGATTTTTAACAAGTTTAAAATTACTTCTTGAACTGAAAATTATGCAAATGAATGTCCAACGATTCTTGTTGATTTCTTCATCAAAAGTTCACATGCTTGCTTTCAACGAAGCAGTGGTTTGATTTCAATATTTTTCATAACTCAAGAAAACCATCTAATATATTTAATATTAAGTTTTAGTAGCCAAAAGAAAGTTAAAGAAATAACGAAAATAGAACAATTTGCGAGTGTTTGTACATCCTCTAGAGAACAACACAAAGCAGTAAAACTTTTCTACTTACTTCCTAAATTGTTTCTCATTGGTAGAAAAAGCTCTCTATCGCCTCCCTCTCTTGTTGTTTGAGCAGCATTCCGATGTTTTCCATCGGGATGCGCAAAGCTTGTTCACGTTCAATTTCTCGCAAGGTGTACACAAACTCTTTGAGTGTATAATTTTCTTCTACACTAAGACGACTGAATACAGTCTGACAAAACCATGGAGTCAAACTGCGTCGAATCTTATCGATGATCGTTTGATCAGGAACTACGCTTCCATAGAACTTTGACCGGTTCACAACCTTCATGAATCTCTCACTGAACTCATGAAAGCTTTCTTCGTTCTTCATCTTCATGTCAAAATACTCACGCACAAGAAGCCCACTTTTCCTAAGCTGCATCGCCTCGGTCTCTCCATAATCTGCCTTGAGAATCTCCCATGCTTGCTTTGACGATGTAGCTCTTCCTATCCGGTAAAAGATAGACTCTGTAACTGACGTTTGCAGCATATGAAGAGCCGTCATATCCTTGATTCTCACATCTTTCTGTCTCTTCTTATCAGATTCTTGGTGCGTGTTTTCTTCCGAGACTCCAATTGCTACAACATCCCAAAGGTCACGAGCCATCAAAAGCGTCCTCATCTTTGTACTCCAGATCTCATGGTCGTCTCCATTAAACAACGGGATTTGCATCTGCATTCCAGCTTCCATAGCTACAAAGATCAAGCTAGGCAAGAACGTCATCAATCAATAACACCATATTACAAAACCAAACAAAGCTAGCTAGCTTCTTCTAAGTTTGAGTCCACATCCACAAAAGAACCAATTCCTAAAAACCCTAACTCCAACAAATTACAAACCCTAGCTCCTTTAAGTTTGAGTCTTCCTATAAACCCTAACTCCTCTATTACCAAACTAGCTCCTTTTAAGTATGAGACTGTATGAGTTCACGAAATTAAAGCACCAATTACTTAAAACACAAAACCTAAATTACCAACCCTAGCTCTTCAAATCGACGATAAAGAAACAATCTTTCAAACCCTAATTAATTAAGAAGTTCAAAAACCCAAAAGTCGTTTATTTTTTTTGTTTTAGTTTTGATTATGTGTACAGCAAGTATCTTAGAGATAATTCAGTAAGCGAGAGAGATTTTTCCGAGAGTGAAGAAATTACAACTTGCTTTTTTTTTGTAATAATGTTTTACCTAACGTCGTAAGAACTGCAAACAAGAAGAGTTAAAAGTTCCTTCTGGTTTTTTCCTAACTTATTTTTATGGCGTCTCGTAGCTGTAACATATATAGGTCTGGTTGATGGGTCAAAATCCGGTCCACACAATTGTTTTGTGTCTCAAGAAAACGGAAAAGCTTAAAATTGGAAAAACAGCATTGTATCAAAAAGTTAAATAAACTTCCTACTAACCAATGTTTTCCAAACTTTAAAAATTTTAAAATTTTGGAGGTGAGGAGTGGATCTCTAAGTCACATCTCAAAGTGACTATCGTTCGAGATCTGGGCTTTGCCTTGAAGTCTCCATTGACGCATTTGAGCCTTGTCTCTACTTTGCGATCAAGTTATCTTCCATTTGCAGCTGTTTTAGCTTTAATTGTTGTTATGCTTTGTTGTTTCTATTTAAGAGGATGGCTAATTCCCTCTGTTTGGTGTAAGTTGGCGAATTAAGTTTGAATGAAAGTAGTTGTTGACAAAAAAAAAAAAATATCACATTTTTCATTAAGTAAATAAAACCATTATGGTTTCGTAAACTTTGGGATTCTTGTTTCAACAGTCACATATTGAACTAAAGATTTACCCTCTGATTGATTACCTAATCTGAAGAGAAAAAAACGAGCTGACTACGAATTGAAAAAATGGTTCAAGGTGGTCAATTTTAAGAGATGAAAAAGGACACTGAAATGGTTTAGACTTTAGAGCAAAGGCCACATTTTGTATATTTTGGAAATATAAGCCTCATCTTTGCTATGGGCTACGTACACGTTAGGTGTTACTAACTTGGAATTTGAAAATGTCATTTTTCAAAATGACTCCAAAAACTTAATACATGCCATCCAAGATCCATATCAAATATTTAAAACTAAGATTTAAGAGCCAAAGAAAGTTAAAGAAACTACCAAAATAGAACATTTTGTTTAAAAGCAAAAGAAATTACAAAACAGAACATTTTGCGAGTGTTTGTTTGTTCATCCATCTACAGAACAACACATCACTCTTTCTACCAAACTCCGAAGCAGCAACACAAGTAGAAAAAACTCTCTATCGCCTTCCTCTCTTGTTGTTAGAGTGGAGCTGCGCAGCTTCTTGGTTTTGCGAAGCGAGTTCACGGTCGAATTCTCCCAAGATATACAGAAGTTCACTGAGTGTATAATCTTCAGAACGAACGTTGATTACATACTGATTAAACCTTGGAGCCAAACTGCGAAGAACCCTACGGATGAGCTCTTGATCAGTAATCTCGTGTCCATAAAACTTTGACCGGCTCACGACTTCCATGAACTTCTCAATGAACTCATGAAAGCTTTCTTCGTTTTTCATCCTCATGTCATAAAACTCCAACACCAGATCCTCCCTTTTCCCACTCTGAATCAGCTCGGTCTCTCCAAAATCTGCCTTGAGAATCTCCCATGCTTGCTTGGACGATGTAGCTCTTCCTATCCTGAGAAAGATAGAATCTGTTACTGACATTTGCAGCATATGAAGAGCCGTCATATCCTTGATTCTCAGATCTTTCTTGGTTTCTTCCGAGACTCCACTCTCTACAACATCCCACAGGTCACGAGCCATCAAGAGAGTCTTCATCTTTATACTCCAGATCTCATGATCCTCTCCATTAAACAACGGAATTTGCATGTGCATTTGAGCTTCCATAGCTACAAAGATGAAGGCAGGAACTTCTTGAAAATTACAAAATCTACAAAACTACCAAAGCTATAGCTCCTTTAGGTTTTTAGTCCACAAGAGAGTTCCAATTCCTAGAAACCCTAACTTCTAAATTACAAACCCTAGCTCTTCAAATCGACAGTAAACAAACAATCCTCCAAAGTCCCTAATTAAGTAATTCAAAAACCCAAAAATCATTCTGTGTTTGAGTTTGAGATCCAAAACTCAAAATGGTTTAGAGATTTTCAGTAAACGAGGAAGATTTTTCCTGAGATTCAAGAAATTACAACTTGTTTATTCATTATTGTAAGAGTTTTTTACCTGGCCTCCTCGTAAGAACCGGAGAATGGAGATACCAAAAAGTAGAAGAAGAGTCAAAAGTTCTTTTAGTCTTTTACCTTGTCGTCTGGCTGTTGCGACTACTAGCAAATATAGGTCTGGTTGACCCAGCCCGGTCCATCATGGATTGGTGTTTTTCTTGTTGGGTCAAAAATTAAGAATCTATTTTCTCATCTTTAGTGTATGTACTATTGCTATTGCTAGGTCTATTCATTTCTTACTAGACTAATACCCGCGCATACGCTGGTTATTTTTATTGTTATATTTTAAAAATATATTAGAAAAGAACTATAGATTTATGATTAGTATTAGAAAATCTTACCCTAATAACATCGACATTTTAATTACAACTGTATAATTAGCAAGTACTGATTCAAAATAGAAACTTAAGGATAATACTTTAAAAGTCATAGTGGTTTTAATTATAATAAATCAAAATGTTTAAAATGGTTAATTAAAAGAAAAATGAAAAGTTATTAATTGAAAAATAGGAAAATGAAAAGTTGTTAATTTAGATTTAAAGTTGTTAATTAAAAAGAATATAAAAGGTCATGCCACATGTTAATTGCTTATGTGTCCACATATCCAAAATATGGAGAGAGTTGGCCCCTTTTCATATATATGATTGTTTAGAAATTTTTAATTTTTGTTTAGTAATAAATAAACATCAACTTTAATTGAATCAACATTTTTCTTAGGAATCACTCTTATTCTCTCTTCTTTGATTCTCTGGCTTTGAAATGTACCAAAGTAGTGTTTATGCTTTTCAGGAAACAAGTTGCTCCAGCTTTTGAATCAATCAATCTTCAAACTTTCATTATAAATCCAATTATACTTGATCAACTGTCAAACTTTGGAGGTGTTTTACATTTTTGTTTTGTTTTTCGACTAACCAATTTATTATTTCGAAAATTGAGATTACAAAACCAGTATATACAGAACCATATAAAATGAGAACAATTACATCAAAACAGAACAATGAGTGACATTGAACTTTTGATTACAACATGACTTATACCGGTATACCCACAACAATCTTAAAAAATACAACTTTTAAAGGTTTTGTTGCATGTTTTGACTAAGGAAAATTCATACTTAAAGAAGAATCTTGAGTCCCCATTTGATGGTTTTATGTACATTTAAGCCAAAGAATTTCCAGAAGCGCCACTAATCTCGCCTTTTTGAGCAACGGGGACGTAAACTGCACCCACTAGAGTGCTGTTTCTTCTCCCGTAGAACAGGTAAATAAGCACTCCGATGAACATCCAGACCGATACACGACCCCAAGTTCCAGCTCTGTAAGCATCAGCAAATACAAAAACATGTTATATTAGCAGTATACACAAAACTGGTGTCATGATCCTTACTCACTCACCCCAAGTTTATCAAGAGATACATGTTTATAAGAATGCAGAGAACAGGCAGAAGCGGAACACACGGGCAAACGAAGCCTGAAAAAAAGAGAGTGATACTTGTATGTCACAATACAAGAACTTCATATTTTGTTTCCAAAATGAAGTGCTTCCAACATAAGATCATGGAAAACAGTACCTCCTGATTGCCCGAAACTGTGTCTAGCATCATCCTGATCTATGCAACTTAGCACAATCAAACCAACAAGAAGGAGCAATCCACCAACACCACATATTGAATACTGGACAAACCTGTTCAAAGTTTTGATAGTATGGGACTAAGTATTCTAGAAGAAAAAAACCTGGTAAGAGACAGACTATTGATGAACAAACCCTGGTAAGGGCAAGCTTGAAGAAGCTGCATAGCTTATAATGAAGTTCCCAACACAAGTGGATATAATGCTCCAACTAGCGAGTTTCCTTCTCTTTTTGTTTTTGAAAACCCCTACAGAATTAATAACAACAAATGTGAAAACATTTTTATACCAAGATTGGAGATGAACGTATGGGAACAAATTCTAATTTAAGCTTGTCTACGAGAATTGAAATAGTAAACTTACAAGTCAATTCGAAAAAAAAAAAAGAAGTAAACTTACAACCCCCTTGAGCTTCTTTTTTCTCCACAACTGAAGCATCAGTTTTGCTAATTAAAGGTTGTTTGATACTACTGGAAGTGCCAACGTGACCGGACGAGAGAATAGGTACCTAATAAAAGCCTTTGTTAGTCCAGTTCATAGTGGAATGTAGCTGTGTTGATTAGCTCGGAAACTACAGCAGAGTCGGTGAACTAAGAAGATAACAAGTAAAAACCAGATTCTAGATTGGTTTAGGATCTTGTAAGTACCTCATCTGGAGGAACATATCTGAGTATCAACAGTGACACTGCAACCATTGTAAACGCAAGAAGCGTCCCGACACTCACCTACACCAATCTAGAGCTTGTCAAATACCAGTTACATGCTAAATGTGGTGATTTAAGTGAATCATAACTGCGTCTTAAATTACCATTCCCGCCAGTTGTGAAACATCCATAAAGAAAGCTAAGAGTGCCGCACAAAGACCAGTTGCTATGGTCCCTTTAACAGGGACCTTTGTACGTTCACTCACGTCTGAGAAAACTGAAGGCAACAAACCATCCCTCGCCATTGTCATCAGAATCCGTGGCTGAAAGATGTATAAGCTCTTTTGTGAATCAGGTTGATCTTTAGCTAACTCAAGCACCATCTATACGGTTTCACGAACATTGAGGACTTGAATTGTGTTTAAAGTTTACCTGAGGAAGAAGAGAGCCCAATAAAACAGAACAGAGAGCCATGACAGCACCTAGAGTTATTAAATACCTATAAGAGAAGAAGAAAAAAGCACATCAAACTCTGAACAAGTCCTGTCAATGAACAGTGTTGCATCTTAACCGATTCATGGACTTACGCAGCCCATTGGATTCCATGACCAGCAAATGCAGAGGATATTGGAGTGTCAGGATCCATAGCATAATAAGGCACTAAACCAACAATTACAATAGACACCATCATGTATAGCAAGCAACAAAGCAGGAGCGAAAGACCAATACCGAGCGGTAAGTCCCGCTGCGGATTTTTCACCTGCATATGACAACAGCAATGTGCAGTAGTAAGTAAATATGCTTAGAAGAAGCCTTTAAAAGATGATAATGCAAACAATATATATGATGCTGACCTCTTCTGCCATACTTGCAACTGAATCAAACCCGATGTAGGCGAAGAAGACAGTAGCAGATCCAGAAAGCATTCCATTAACTCCGTAGGGAAAATAACTAAGAAACCAAAAAAAACAATCTGTTTCATATAGCAACAAACCTTAAAAATATGAATGAATGCTCGATTTACCCTGATGGAAGTTGATAACCAGGCCAACCTGTCTTGAAACACAGATAAGTACCGACTACTATCACAAATAGCATAACAAAGACGTTTGCTGTTGTTACAATCCCCTGAGCTAATGTGCTCTGCATTAAAAAGGAAAAAAAGATATTTCACTTTAAGAACACTTGCTCTGCAGAGTTTAGTGTGACCAAAAACAATTTTTTAAGTTAATACCTCCTTTACTCCAATGCACAAGAGAGCTGTTACAATGAAGACTAGAACAGCAGCACATGGGTCAACAACAACATCAAGTCCCGGGATTTGATGACGAGATAATATTGCAGGCAGACTATCTTCACCGCCGAAAAGCAATGACTATCATGTTATATCACACGAAACATGATAATGAGTTAAGACAAAGACCTCAAAAACTTGTCAAAAGGAAAATGTTCTCTAAGTGCCACTTCAGATTTAACAAGAATTTTTTTGAGATGTAAGTCATTCACTTAGATTCTTATCTCAAACAACACAGTATCTCAAAGATTATTATCTTATAGAGCTTTATGGTTCTTATATGGGAGCCTAACGCCATTGGTCTTGTCTAAAGGAACAGAGGAAATTAACTAACTCTTATGAAATGCAATGCAAGCAACAGAAGATATGAGTCAAAGAGCAAAATACCAGATTTGGAGCTATGCCACGAGCAACCGTTGAACCACCAATTGTGTATTCAAGAATCAGTGCCCAGCCAATCAACCAGGCAACACTGAAACCCACAGAATCCATAAGCAAAGGCAATGAGTATAACATCAAAAGCTCTAAACCTGAGTTAGAGGAAATTGCAGATAAACTAGTGGCATAAGCAAAGTAAAATGTCACCCTTCACCAATGAAAATGTAAGAATAGTGATAGACACTCCCAGCTGAAGGAAAACGACTAGAGAGTTCTGCATAGCAAAACGCCGAAAGTGCAGCCGAAATTCCAGCTATAAGGAAGGATAACGCAAGAGCAGGTCCTGAATACTCTCTCGCTACTGTTCCCACAAGTATATAAACCCCTGCTCCTATTGTTGATCCAACACCTGAAATTGCACAGCCAAAACTCTAGAGGTTTAATGAAGAACATAGCCAAACACACAAAAACAAACCCATAATTCAGATACACATTGTTCATAAGTAATCATATTGTAATTCAGGACTAGATTATGAGTGATAACAAAAACTTTATTCAGAATAAAGTTTCAAACTTTTAAAACCTTCTATAATTCTAGATGTTACAGACACAATATCAGATTTAGAATTCATATTGTGAATCAAGACTAGATTTTTTTACATTTTTTGGTCAAACTCAGGACTAGATTATGACTGATAAACACCTAACGAAATCTTCATACAGAAAAAAAAAGCGAAAAGCTTTAAACTTTTCGAATCATCTATACATCCAGATACTACAGCCACAATACCAGATTAACTGGGAGATGATAAGGAATCCATTGACAGCAAGAAAAATTGACTAAGTAAGAAACCCAGATTCCTTAACTATCGTAGAGAGATTACAATCATTGAAAACAGAGAAAAAGAGAGTACCGATTGCAATCAAATAAGGAAAGGTCAAGGCTTTGGCGAGTTGTTGTTGAGGATGACGAGTCTCGGCTTCGCCATTTGAAGAGTCAACTTGTTTCCTTCGCACCAGATTTTTAAACAACTCCATGAATGAGTTCACTACTTCCTCCCTTTGGCGTATTTAAAAACGACGCTAAGGAAATATTCTTTGATGACATGCTAATACTATACTATGCTAGTATCCTATAATCCAAGTGGCTAACTATATCAATAATTAATATAGACGATTTTCAACCATAAACTCTGAGATTTTATTGGTTTGGCATTTAACAAACGAGACCTACCTAGCTTGTGTCTCCTGCTGGCCTTCGTCACCTGGTAAGACTTCTATAAATTTAGCTTTTCTTGATGTAGATAGTTTCAGCTTTCCTTCCACAAAATTTGCTTAACTGTGTCTAGATGATACATGTTTTAGGACAGTTATTGGTAGATTTAATTTTGAAAGATTTTTAAATATATAGATTCTTTTGTTATTTGTTGATGGATTTTGATTTCTTAAATATGTTGTTAGAGTATCTCCAATTATTAATTGTATTTTTCATATATACCAAAATGTAATTGGGAGTTTTTCTCCAATAGTTAATTGCATTTTTAATTCAAAAAGAGCATCGTTTAAGTTATATATATATATATTAAGTTTTATTATTAATTGCTAAGTATACATATTTTCTTCAAAAATTACAAGCTGGTCAATTTATATATTTTTCAAAAAATCCACAAATTATGATATTCTTTAAATTAAATTAGGAAATATTATTTGATGAGTATGGCCTATGGAGGGATGCAAAAGAAAGTGAAGTTCAACAACGATGCCTTGACATCCGTATCTAATCCATTTCCTATTTAAAAGGTCTACCAAATGAGTTGGTCACTTGGTCTACTGTTTTAGTTTTTGCACTCTTTTTCTAAACATTATATTTAAAAAAGAAAAATTAAAACATTAAACGGCCGTAAGATTTTCAGAAGTACCAAAGACAATGGAAGAAAAATATTCATGAACATATATGATTCATATAATCGAAATTGCTAAAATTATGTAAAGAAAACCCACACCTAGCATGGGATAATCCCTAGTAACACGAAGGAATAAAGAAAACGAAATAGAAACCCGAAAACGACAAAATCAATAATCAACAAGATTCATTAACATAACGAAAACCATTAGTTTGTGTTGGAATGTGGATGAGGAGGAGGTGGAGGTGGAGGAGGAGGGGAGCGAATTCGCCGACATCGAGTATAGGGGGAAGCTCCACATGGCAGCGATGGTCTAGTTTTTATATGAACCGTTATACCTTGTGGTACATAAAAAAAAAAAAGAGAGTTCAATATGCATAAAAAGAACACCTCAAAATGAAAATTAACACAAATTAATGCATATGAATTAACAATATATGAAATGTTCAATTGTTGTTGCATTCTTTAGAAATTTTGCAATCCTATATTGGAGAATCGATAATTTTCTTTATTACCAATTGATTTACATGAAATACCATAAATCTTAGTAGTTACAAACGGAAACTATTCTAAAAGTAGGAAAATTATGAAGAAGAACAGTATTTTCAGATCGTTTGAAGATTATATATAGAGCAAAGACTTGAAAGTTCCTTCAAATATATATATTTTAAACTATTTTCTTATTATCTATTACAAGCTTCCTCCTTTTTTTCCCACTTACATATATACAAGTTAGAAAAGAAAATTCAGGATTCAGTGTGTAAATGTACAAACCTGGTTTACATTCTGTAGCATCAACATCGCCGGCAAGATAAGATAGACATAGAAGCAGAAGGATAAGAAGTAAAAGAGGATGTGGTGTTTTTATTATAGTCATTTGCTTTCTATGGAGAGTTATATACTTGAGGAAAAAAAAATTAAACTGAGAATTTGAAGAAAAGTAATACAGTACCAATTTGGTAAGTGTATATACTTAGCTTTGCACGAAAATCAAAGTCTATACACTTAGCTGGCAGATAAATTTTTGGCCATTTCATGACCTAAACTACACGTTAAGAAGAAAACAAAATCTGAAAAATAAATTTGAAGTTAAACTATATGCTGTTTGATGAAAATAGATAATACGATAAGAAATTTGAAAAATAGATTTCCCTTGGACTCCTGCTACATTTATCTACCAACTACCAAGTGTTATCCACGCTACTATCATCTCTGTATCTTTCGGTCTACGCATGGCTAAAAGTATAAAACAACCATCAAAATATATAAATTTTATGGTCAAGCCATCAAAGCATCATATAGTAAATCAATACATCGAAAATTTTCATATTTTGTAATTTTGTAATGTCGGTAAAGACGGACGTTGGAGTCCACTCCTAGTATCACTTGAACAGAGTTTAAACAAAAAATAGATGTATATAAATCGAGTATTGCTATATTTCACGGAAGTGTAGTGTGGGCCACATCTTCTGGGTTATAGTGGAGTCGAGAACGTTTACATGGTGGTCTTCTAGCTAGTGTTTGTGGTGGTGAATTGTCTTCGAGACTAGAAGCTCCACATGATCCTGAGGGTGGAGTACTTATGTCCGGACCCATTTTGTCACCTATTTCGTACCCATAATATTAATATTGTTGTGATAAAAACCTAGATGGTTGATATATATATTTTACACATTTTAATCCTATGCAAAATATTGTTTTGATACTTTGGTGGAACCGAGAATTTTAGGAAAACTTTATGTTTAAAAAATTCCTGAATCTAGTTTATTTGATACCATACCCTGTTACTGGGAGCAAACGAGAAGCTGAATCACATGTATATGGAGTATAAACAAAAAGTTAAGAGCATATGGAAAATCGAGTTACTTGATCATCCTAATAGAGAAGACAATAAAACACAATCAAGATATACCAAGAATATAGTTAAGCTATGCAACGTTTTGATATGAATCAACCTTGTATCCTCTATGATTATCTCTCTCTTAGTAATCGATGCTATCTTGATCCACCTATTTTTTTTTTTTGATTGATTATATTCTCCATTCGCAATATTGTTTGAGATTTTCATTTTAATACTTTACCACTATGTAAAAACCAGAAAAAGAATTGCAACGGTATTAATTTTTATTCTCTTGATATGTTGACTAACCTGGTATTTTAGCTCCTACAAGACCAATCATAAAGATTAGGCAAAGAAGAAGACGAAACAAAGGAACATGTGAAGTCTTCATCGCCATTGCGCTCTTTTTATTTCAAATAAACCAGAGACTATAAACTTTCACAATTTGATGTATAATATATATTATAATCTGCATTGAATATTAACGCGGTTGGTAGGTAAGCAACCTTTGCTTTTTCAACTCATTTGCATGTATGAAGACTGGTTTTATCTAGTTGTTGTTTTATGTCCCAATAGTCAACAAAGTCAACTTGAGAAAACTCTACTTGGCGACGCTTTTCCCCAAAGTCAACTTGCCAAAATGTTTTTTCTTTTTCTTTGTAATTCATCTAAGGGTTGAAAGAATCTCACTAAATTGTTCTAACATGTTTGGTCTATTTACTTAGATTCAAAAATCTTTGAAGAAAGTATGGAATCTTGTTGGCTCATCGGTATAACATGCGTATGTATGCTGGTGTTAACCCTTATCCAAAAGCACGGCTGTATAGGCGTCTAGCTGCTCCACGTGCCTGTTCTGCCTCGATTTTAGTTTGATCGAGTGAATAAATCGAGGATTTAACTAATTTATTCTATAGGTCTATTAATTTATGCTTAGAACGTTTTATGTATGCATAGGTCGATTAATTTACGTATTTTTGGACTTTTAGGATCAGCCTATATCTGGATCACAAGTTAAACTCGAACAAGACTAAACCAAACAAGCTTAACCTCGAAAAGGTCTCTAACTCAAACAAGCTTAACCTGAAAAATCAACAATTTTTAGGCTTATATTTTTAGTAATTTTAATGGATTTGCTCCAATTGATAAATATCTTACAGTGAAACCAACATAAGAAAAAACGCAAGGGATAAAACTCAAAAATTCAGCTTGAACAATAGAACAATTCAGTAACAACATTTCCATACACATCGAGTATTGGTCCTATATTAAGTAACCATAATTGATGACAGAAGAAAGATATTATTTGGAAATTTCCAGGTAATGTAGGTAAATATAAAGCTTGGAGTCACTCCTTCAACAATTCATAAACAACATTACATATAGATCGTGTATTTATTGGTTTTTTGACAAAACATATAGATCGAGTATTAGTTAGTCCAATGCATCAAGGGACTGAACTCTATGGCTAACATGAAACATCTTATGGGTTTCGGGGTCGCGGACGTCTACAAGGTGGTCGTGGTCTTCTGGTCCTGGCTGGTACTGCTGATGCACTTTGTTTGGAACCGCTAGCTCCACATGAATCTGAGGGTGGTGTCGCTATGTACGGACCTGATTCATACGGTCATACCCAATATACTAAGAGCTGTATTTGATCAATGATTTATCTATATTAAAAGGTTACAATTATAAGAAATGGGGAACTTGTTGCCAAAGGTCCGCTTTGGGGAAATTTGAAAAAATATTGTATGGTGTTTAATTAGAGAAGATTTTTTAGTTGAACACCAAAAGAAACTAAGTTTCATGGTCTAAAATACTCTGTAACAACTTTCTTAAATTCATATAGTCAAAAAACTCACTAAAATAATAGTAATTACCTGATCATCCTAGCTAGTCGAGATAAATAGGATTATATCAAAGAATATTGTTGAGCTATGTAAAGCATTTCTATTGTGAAACACTAAGTTTGTTTTTATTAATTAAGCAAATAATTTCAAATAACTGAGAAGATTTTGATTGTGTAGTATCTTATTGATAAGATGTTAGTGATATTAAATTTTCATTAGCAATATTGTTAGAGATATTTATTTGACCTGACCAAAAGTTTACGGAAAAGACAAGGTTACAAAATCATGGTCTGTCCTTTCTTTGTTTTTTTAATCCTCTTGTTAAAAATGTATGAGTATTACTAACTCTAATACTCTTAATATGTGAACTGACCTGGACCACCTGGACCTGGTAATGTAGCTCCAACCAATCCAATCACAAAGATCAGGCAAAGAAGAAGACGAAGCAGAGGAACTTGTGATACCTTCATCGCAAATAAGCTCTTCTTTTCTCTCTCAAATAACTATTGTGAGAGATTGAACATTAATTTTTTTTTGTATATTTCGATGCATAATAATGATAATATGTTAATGTTATGTAGCATTTAAATTAAAATGAACGCGGTTGGTAAGATTGATACACTTGCCACAATTTTCAACTTGTCGCGTTACGACTCACGACTTTTGCTGCCTCAATTAATTTACAAGTCCGTTATACAGCTGTTAAATCAAGTATTTTGAAAAATATCTTCATTTCAAGGAACTAAAGCTTTATTTTCCTAAGAATAATGTGTTGAGAAATTTCAAGAAGTGTTAGAATTCCCACGTCAAAATGAGATGAAATATAAGGTGACGTGTTGTGCAAATATGTTAATGTTATCACTACTAATCCATTTTCATTTAAAAACACACAGAACTCAGAAAACTCTCACTTGGGCTCTATCTTGCTCAGGATTATGCAAGACTTTGTAAACTTTCAGTTTGGACGTGATTACATCAAAACTTGTGTACAAAAAATATCATATAAAGTTATCAATCAAGTGTCATGGTTATGACGATTTTTTCATAAGGCATGGATCTACTTTTTCATTTACATATTTTGAGACTACCGATACTGTGAAATAATCAATCTAATAGCTCCACGAACTCACAGTTTGGTTTGAGGTTCGAGGGTTAGCATCATGGACGGCTTAAACCACAATCCACAGAACTTGGGATTCGTTTACGCAATGCTAAATAATTTCAAAATACAGAGTCCATTTATAGAAGGTTTGATAAATCAAGTCTAGAAGACTCATTTAAGGGAACCAAAGTGCTCGTTCTAGAGGACTCAGTTAATGGATGGTTTCGAGAGAAAGAATAAAAACCAGTATTTGATTTGTCCAGAAATGAAAACAACTTGGCGAGGAAATGATCAAACTCTCATAAAAGGAACTTTTGAGTTGTCATTTTCGCACAACTCAGAAAGTAATCTAGAGAGAAGTGAGATAACTAGTGATAGTCTATCACTGACAGAAATGGTGAAATATTTTCAGCATTTGTAGTGATCGGATAGCCAAAAACAATAAAGTCGGTTCACATTTGTTTGAAGCTTTTGGAAATTACTACGGTTTGAGTTAATTTTAAGTTGCAGCAACCATTTTTTTATTTTGCTATTACAAGTGAATCTAATAGCATGTCTATATAGGACTAATGCAATTTCAACTTGACTTTTATGTTTTATGATGTTAGAAGTCTAATTTGGAGTGTGGGTTGAGTAACGTGGTTATTGGTTTGGGCTAGCACGCCAAATGGAGATCCGGGTATGAGTAACATGGCCTAAATGGAATTCTATCTATGTATGATACGATAAGTAACTTTTGTTTCTGGTTCAAGGAAATATTATGTTTTTTTTTAAAGGAAATATTATGTTCTTCAGGTGACATGTTTTTTTCTCTACGAGTGCCAATACTACATCTGAAGTAAAATCAGTCTCCTCTATTATTCAAGAGCTTGGCATCTCCTCTCCAACTCAATCTCAACTTTTCGCAAACAAATTATAAGTTTATCAGATAGATTTGAAATCGGTCATAATATTCGTATTTTACGCAAACTTTCCCAAATCTTTGCAGATTAAATATAAGGGTAATCTATTAATAAAAATCCTTAAATATCTACATATATAAATTATTTTGGTTATTTTAAATATGTTTAGGGTTATTGAAGCAAATCTTCCTTAATTACAGTATGCTAGATTGTGTATCTTTTAAGTTTTCGTAGCCTTTTCTAGGGGCCAGATTTGGCCAAATCTTAACTCTAATAAATTAAATTTCCAGCTAATTAACAAGTCATGGTGAGTATGATCCATGTCAAAACATTTTGGTGATGTTTATAATTTTTTTTTAGTATATCATGTTCATTTATTTAAGTAAAATTGGAAGTGTACTCCACCACCGTATAACATTTAACTTTGTCAGAGTCCAAAGTTAAGGAATTAATTAGTTGGTAAAGCAGGATACGTTACATAAGAGCGTCACTCAAGCTACAATCCCTAATCCAGAACCGGAAGAGAAACCTGAAGTTATTTTATTTGAAATAACTAAGTTTGGATCTCACCTGCATGCGTGAAATCATGAATTTATAAAACAAAATCAATATAGATATAATTTTAATAAATAAAAAAATAAAAGTTAAATGATGTAAAATTTAATAAAACAAATACTTATGAAACACCAAACAATTTTTTTTTTGTCAACAGCCTCTATTTCTAAAGCAGCTCGGGAATCCAAGCTGGTGAAACAGAGTTTACATAATACACATCAGTAGGTAGAGTTGGAGCACTCCGTGCTAACTTGTCTGTCTTCGTGTTTTTCGTCCTTGGTATGTAGACAATGGAGAATAAGGTAAACATCATCTTGCATCTGCCAAACTCTTCGAGAAGAATCGAGAACGCTGGCCACTCCTCTGGTTTAGACACCATCTTCACCACATCGGAACAGTCTGTCTCGAAAACTATTGTTAAATTGTTATGTCGCAACATGCATTGCATAGCCCAAATGAGGGCCTCCAGCTCTATCTGAAGTGGCAATAAGCCACGCCGCAGATTGCATGCTCTCATCAGTTTATGGTGGTATTCGTGTGCATAGTATACCATTCCAGACCAGCCCAAAGTTCTGTCAATTTCCAAGCTCCATCCACCTGACATCTTACCCCCGAATATGATAAGTCTATTTGGGGTTCTGGATTCAGATTCACCACATATGATTATTATAAATATTGATATATAATATACTTTTTACAATAATAGTATGAATTAGTCTGATATTATTACACTTATGTATTTATGAGTGTCAGAATGAACCTGACTAACATATATGCATCTACTTAAAATATTTTGTATTATTTGACGGACCGACCCGGAAAAGGACATTAATCCTAACCTTTTTTTTTGTTAAAGACATCAACCCTAACCTGCTCCACCAAGAAACCAAATACCTCGAGGCTTGCATGTCGAAAGGGTCGCAGGACTCGCAGCTAGGGGTAATTAATTATCAAAAACCACGTGAGCGGATCGGGTCGATCGAGCTGAAGAGAAATCAACCCAAACTTAGGTACGACTATAAAAACCCTTTGTATCGTGAAAGGTTTTTTTTATGACAACTACTACAAAAGGTCCTGAAAATGAAACATCACAAATAATTAATGTAAACCTTTCACGAACTGAAGAAAAAGAAAAAAAACTTATTTTAACCTCGTAAATAACATTAATTTACAATTTTAACTCTACTACATTATTTTAATTGAGGGGGATTTTCTTTTAAAAAATTACATTAAAAATAAAATGACAACTAATTTGAAACAAAAAATTTAAGCTTACAAGGAGTTTATTATAACATGGTGGACTATTAAAAAATTTGTTCCCTAATGATACATATATAATTGTTTACTTTTTGTTTATTTTGGTGACTAATTCTTGTTCTTCTGACTGATTCAATAAAATAAAAATAAATACGCCACCAAATTATTTGAAACTCAGAAGGCGTAATAAAATGCAGTGGTTTGATGGATTCTCCAGAAGGACCAAATACAAACGTCACAAAGGGATTGAAAATGTACAACATTATCTTTTAATTATACTCTATATAGACGACCAAAAAAACAAAACCAAATTACCACGTCATCGTTGAACTTCTAGGGAATTACAACAATAGAGAGAAAAACAAAAGAGTCAAACAAACAAAAGTAATTAAGGATATTAATAAAAACTAGTATTAGGAAGAATGTGGCGCGAGAGTAAATGTGTTTAACTTTAGGTTAAACATAAACCATATAAATATATAAGGCATCCCATTGTGCCAAGTTTACATCAAATTGCGAAAAAGAGTTGTAATGAGAAGAAATTGACAATACAATTTCAGGTTCGGAAGAAAGGTCAGCAGCATCAGAAGAAATGGCAGGTTCTACTCTTCTTTAAATCACTATAATTTTTCACTATTTCACTAAAATAGTTTTATTTTCATCATATCATTACTAAATCATTTGTGGCAATTCCGTGTGGAAACACAGAGCGCATGTTTCTTCGACGTTAGTTTACTTCGTGTCCTGATTTTACATTTTTTTTTTATATAATAAATCAGAGTAGATTTTGGTAACTACCAACGGTCTACATTTTGTAGTTATTGTAACTTGATCTCTGAGTTAGATTCCGTTTGTTTACGTATCTATCCAGGTTTACCACTAGATCTACTTGAAGCGGTGGAGAATAAGGACAGAGAATTTTTCATCAATGAAATCAGACGTGACCATGATCTTCTTTTGATCCCTGAAGCTGCGTCTGGCCGAAACCTCTTTCAGCTGGCCGTTCAATTCAGGAAAGAGAACATCTTTAACCTCATATATGGTTTAGATAATATTAGAAGGGCCGAGCTGCTGGGATCTCTGGACAGAGCAAACAACAATATTCTCCATATCGCCGCTCAGCTCTCGCCTACCGACCACCTCTCTAAGATTTCTGGATCTGCCCTCAAGATGCAAAGAGAGGCTCAATGGGTTGAGGAAATAAAAAGCTTGTTACCAGAACATGAAGTGGTGCGAAGAAACAACGACGGGATGACCCCACGACAAGTTTTTGAAGTGTCTCACGAACCTCTTCGAAAAGAAGGAGAAGAATGGATGAAATACACAGCCACTGCTTGTAGCTTCGTGGCCGTTCTCATTGCAACTGTCACTTTTCAAGCCATTTTCACTGTTCCTGGAGGTACTGATGAAATTTCGGGTGCGCCTCTTCTTCTTGGAGATGGACATTTTCTGGCGTTCATCATAATAGACAGTATCGCCTTCTTCTCCTCCTGCACCTCTGTGTTCATATTCCTCAGCATTCTGACGGCAAGATACTCTTTCGATGACTTCATTGTATCACTTCCTAGAAAGATGATAGTAGGTCTAATCATGCTATCCATCTCCATCTCGACGATGCTTGTTGCATTCATCACTGCGCTGTCCGCATCGATGCGTGCAAGGCCAATGCTTGTAGTCCCCATGAAGCCAATCGCCGGCCTCCCTACCATTCTCTTCTTGATGTTGCAATATCCTCTTCTCAAGGAAATGATTTCTTCCACGTACGGCAAAGGACTCTTCCGCAGGAATACAAGACGTTGGCTCTAAAGAATAATCATGTGTGTATATTGCACAAGGATCCATAAGTATCCACAGAATGGAACATTTGAAATTTTATTAAACTGTATCGTATGATTCGAAGATGTTGATTTTAATTATAAGTTTATTTTAAGGGAAAGTATCAAAGTGTTACAACACTCTTCTCTTACCACTTCAACAATTCGATAAAACAACATTACATATAGATTGAGTATTAATTGGTCCTATACTTCAAGGGACTGAAGTATGGCTAACATCATTTGGTTTTATAGACGTGCTACACGTCTACAACTACAAGGTCGTGATGAACCGTGTTTGGCACCGCTAGCGCCAAATGAATGTGATGGTGGTGTCTTTATGCGCGGACCTGATTCATACCCAATATATTAAGTACGTATTTGATTTGTATTAAAATGACACATTACATATTACTCAATACTAGACTGAGAAAAGTTTTTAAAATTTGGTTTTATTGGTTTTTGTATTTTCAGTCTCTTACAACTAAAAGTTCTTGAATTGTTTTTTTTTTTTTTTTAAAGTTAACTTCAAATATATTGTTGCTAGTAATATTTAAGGATTTCATAGTGTTTTTCTTTTGAAACAAAGCCTGCTTATATTAATTTTAAATTAACCACGGTTCCAACTTTTAAAACTCGTAAACTTTATTATCAAAGGTCCGCTTTTAAAAAATTTGAAAAAATTCCATGGTGTTTAAAAAGAGTTTTTGGTTTTAAAAATACGGAAAACTTATTTTCATGGTCTAAACTTTTGGATATTTTTTAGATATTATATAAAAATCAACCATAACAATTTTCTTAAATTCATCCGAAATCGTCAAACTCCCTTAAATTTTCTTATGGATCAAATTATACGATTGAATGCATATAATTTAGAAATATTTATGATGAATATCTATAAAAAATTGTCGTAATTTTTTAAATACAATTCTTTTTTTGGTGGTGTGTTAATTATTTCTCTATATTGATATTATCAATGTAAAAATTTAGATGCATCAACCAAAATTCAGGGCCGTTTACAATCAAATATTTGTGAATATATGTCATTATGTGGGTGCATAGCAAATAAGAACTGGAACCAGTTATCGAATGTGAAAATAACAACAGAACAAACTTATTGCCTGATCATCCTAATTGAGATAAATATGTCAAAGAATATGTTGAGTTATGTAAAACATATGTTTTGTGAAACGACCATTTTCTTTATTAGAAACTAATTTCAAATATTTGATAAATTTCTGATTCAGTATAATATTGTACTAATAAGATGTTAGTAGTATTAAATTTTCAGTCACAAATGTTGTTAGAGATTTTCATTTGACTTGACCATAAGTTTAAGAATTTTTAGAATTTGTATGTATTATTAGTTCTAGTTCTCTTGATATGTGAACTGACCTGCACCATCTGGTAATGTAGCTCCTACGAATCCAATCACAAAGAACAGGCAAAGAAGAAGACGAAGCAAAGGAACATGTGATGGCTTCATCGCAGATAAGCTCTTCTTTTTTACAAATAACTATTCTGAGAGATTTAGCATTTATAAGATATTACGATGCATTATAAGTTTACGTTATGTAGCATTTAATTTAAATTAAAATGAACGAACGTTGGTACGATTGATACACTTGCCACAACTTTCAACTTCTCGTGTTATACGACTCACGACTTTGGCTGCCTTGATTACTTTTCAACTCCATTATACAGATGTTAAATCAAGAATTTTGAAAATATTTTCCAATTCAAGGAAACAACGCTCCTTTTTCTTAAGAATAATGTCTTGAAAATTTCGAAAAGTGGAAGAACTCCCACATCAAAATAAGATGAGACATACAGTGACATGCTGCAAATATGTCAATGTATTCGTTACTAATCGATATTTATTTAAAAACTCAAAATTTGACCGTAATATTTCAGAATTTCAACACACGTTGGCGGTTGGCCCAATCCAAACCCAAACATCGATCAAACCCAAAATAAGACCGTAATATTCACTAAGTTTTTGAAGGCTATCGATATGTGAAGCGTGGCTCTCAAGTAAAGAGACCAAGATGATTTATGTGAGAAAGAAAAACAAATTTGGCTAAAGTGTTTAAAAACCATGTTCTTGGTACTTCTAGCGCAATATATATATGTAAGGAAAGTAGTAATTTTGTGTTCGGGATCCATTTAACAGAAGGTCAAAAACCGTGTATCTGGATTTGAATATGGAAAGAACAAAAGCTTTTGGGGGTGGCCAGCTTAAACCGCATAACTGGATATCCATTTAAAGAATGTTCGGTGATTGCGCATTTGCGCAATGCGGTATATAAACCACGTAAGAATAGTTAACATTTTGTTTTTGTTGTATGATGGTTAAGTGAATGTATAGGATTAAAATTTGGGCATGACATGGAAAAAAAAAACATGATATTATGGATCAGGCTGGATCATTGAACATTTATGATTCCATCTGCGAATAGATTTAACTAGAGTTTGACCCGTGCCCCTGCACGGAGTTATGGTTTCTAATTTTTTTTTTATCAAAACATGTCTATTTAAGTATTTTAAAATTTTGTGCGACGGATTTTTTTTTATCTTAATAAGGTTCTTATCTTCGTTTATAGTGTAGAAATTAAACATTTTAAACCGTTTTTTTAAATGGTAAACAAATTAAAGCATTGATCGTAGTCATAGATTAAATATGTTAGACTTACGCAAGATATATAAAACTCAAATGACTACAATATAATAAGATAGAACAAAAAAGCTGAAAATAAAATATTATTCTTAAAAAAAATTATATATCATGTAATTTATAAGATAAGAAGATAATTAAGAAGTTTTAGGTGTGTACACACATATTAGAACTAACTTTTTATTTCTTTTAAAACTAAACATGTTTTATTATAATTTCAAAACAATCTAACCAATAAAAAAAACAATCTGCAAAATCCAAATTGTCAAACCAACAAAAATATAATTAAATTTGTATTGAAAATTAAAACAGATTGAGCAATATTCAAAATTTTGATCAAAATTAAATACATTTTTTTTTATAAAAACTGTTTTATTTATTTAATTACAAAGTTTAGTTAAAAAATATATTAAATTGAATAAAAAAAAATTTACAATTGGATACCTACTCTCATACTTATTTTGTTGCATATCATCTATTTTTTATAATATATTTTAAACAGTTTTAGTGATTATTTTGTTTCTTAAAATTCAAATCATAGCATATATAGAAAAAGTTTTAGATTTTCTTTATTTGATTTTTGTATTGTGATAATTTTTATTTTATAAAATAAATTTAAACAAAGATGAAAGGAGATATATAATGATTTTAGAAAAATATCATGATAAAATTAAATTGAATCTCATATTTTCCTTATTTACTTATTTTTGTAACTGCGAGTTAAGGAAAGATAACTATATTTTTTTTTTGTTAATAGTTACATATATATGATTAATTTAATAATACATATTTGATTCTCTAACCACAAATATGAATGACAATGTTTGTAATTACTCTAGTAAACTAATCCTTATTTTATAAATGACATGAGAAGCTCCTAATGATAACACATCAGCATGACATTCTTGTTAATAACACATCAATTAAAGGTTACTTTTAAATGTTTTCTCTTTTAATATATTAGGGATTAAGCTCTTGACGTTTGTTAGTCAATGAATACGACGCATTCAAGTATCATTAAGTGTTTTATATGAATTTGTTGACCTTGCTTTGTAGTTTAGTAACAAAAAGACAAATTTTAAAAAATGTAACAAAAAATGTTATAAGTTAAGTAAAATCGTTTGGAAATACAAATCCTATTCTGTATCATAAGAAAATCACAAATAAAACCATTTGGAAATAAAAATCTTTTCCTACATCACAAGAAAACACAAAACGTTTGAATACAGCCAAAGGGACTAATAATATGGCCCTCAAATCTATTCTAATATTAGGTGGTTACCATTTTTCTCACTTCATGAGGGGCTGACATGTGTCACTTCAAATTGTTGACATGTATCTTTTTTTTATTTAACATCTATTTTTTTCATGTATATTTTTCTTCAATTAGAATCAACAAATATAATTTTCATCAATAAATACCACATTAATTTTCTACCATTACATTATCAATTACATTATCAGTTACATTTTATAGAAAATAATATATGTAATCCCATTATCAATTACATTCCATGCAAACATATGTAAATCTTATATGTAATATATTTTTTTTTCTAAGAAAAAATAATATAAAAATATTTAATCTTATATTAGGTGGTTACCACTTTTCTCACTTTATGAGAAGCTGACATGTGTCATTTTAAATTGTTGACATGTATCTTTTTTTATTTAAAATCTATTTTTCTTTAGTTAGAATTAACAAACATAATTTTCATCAATAAATACCACATTAACTCTCTACCATTACATTATCAATTACATTATATAAAAAATAATATATGTAATCCCATTATCAATTACATTCCATACAAACATATATAACTCTTATATGTTATATATTTATATATCTATATTTTTTTCTAAGAAAAAATAATATACGAAAATATTTGATATTTTACTATTTAAATGTCCATACAGTAAATATAGTAATATTCAGATCATTATTGTTATCATGACTGTATATTATATATTAAATAACTTCGACCAATTATAATTTTATATCTATATTTTTATTAATTGATGCTCCTCCAAGTGTAAGCTAGAATATTATTTTGACAACAAAGAAACGTTACCAAATTAGAATAAATAACTATTTCACACTAATTATTGCAATGCTCATCACACTTTTTAACTGTATATGTTCATTTACCATGCATTATTAGCAAATTTTGGGAATAATTTCACAAAGGTTTATAGAAGATTTTTTAAGTTCTCATGATGAAAAGGAATTTTTATTTCGGCTATGAAATTTTGGCTTGTGATTATAAACGTCAGAATTTACCTCTAAAAAAACTGATAACCCATATCCACACAACAAAATCATTAGATATCATCTCCACATTTTGATTCTTCCATACTAAAATAAATAGGGTTACGTAAAACTCGAATAGATAGAAAATGTTGCATGACCATTTTGAATATTATAATAGATAGAAAATAAAATTAAGTAAAATTCAATGAAAATGTTGCATCATTAAAATATTTATAACCATATTTAAAGAATCCGCACAGAAACATAATCCCGCGCAAGCACGGGCTCCAACCTAGTTTTCTATATATTCAATGGCCTAAATCCAAAGCTTTAGCTGCTTTATGGACTGGACGGGCTGGGCCTGCACTGTGGTCGGTCGATTGATAAGTCTCTACTCAAAAGTATGGGCTGACTTTTCCACTGCGTGTCATCTTTTCTCCCGGTTCGAAGGTAGAGGAATAGGAGCTTGGAATGCTCTATTGTTTGCGTATGCGGAACATTGCCCCTCTGGGGCTAACGCAGTTTTCGCTGAGCTACATAAGACCGTCACCCCCACGCAAGTCGCTTTCCCATCTCTACTCATGGCGTATGCTCATGCCGACATATATGTTGGACATTTGTATGCTGTTTTGAAGAGGATGGTCGTCGTATATGACATTGAGCCAGATAAAACGCACATGGGGTGCATTGTAAAACGCACATGGTATGTACTTAATGTTGTTAGAAGGTTTATTTAAGTAAAGAATGAGGTAGGACGATTAACCTGAACCATGACTTGAAGAATTTTATATAAAGAAAGTCTATAATATTTTTCTAGAGCAATATAATATGAATGCATAAGAATATTATCAACTATTGAACATATATATGCATTCATTTGAATGCATATGTTTATATAATTATTTTGCTTGATACACTATGACAAATACATATGTATGAAGTCGTAAATGATCAACTATTGATATGCAACTTCTTTATGGGCCTTTTCCTCTCCGCGATTTTGAAGGAGGCACATAAAATTGAGGTGGAGGGGGAGGCTTGCGAGGAGACGGTGGTGAAATCTTACCTGTACAATATGCACGAGATTGTTTCATTAGTTTATTCATCCAATAATTTGCAACAATTGAATAGACATACAAAATGAATGATTAGGTGATACACTCAATCGTCGTGGGGTTTAAGATATAGAAACAATTGCAAATAATTCAGTCTGTGTAATATAAGGGAAGCATTTTCTATAGACTTATTAGTTTTTTTTTGAAAAGGTGTTCTAACTTTTTTTGAGAAAAAGTTTTTCTATATTTAACAGCTAAAAGTATTGTATCATTTTCTCATTTGCCTTCAATTCTAATAAAAAAACTATTAAAAAAAAAACAGAAGATGAATAAGGTCACTGACAGAAGAGAAATTTTATGAAATACACCTCTTGAGGTGCAAATTTTCAAAACTACACCTATAGTGTGGAAATTTTCAAAAATACACATTTTCCCAATTTTAATATATATGTTTGGATTCACTAATCCTATATTAGGGTTTAGATTTCGGGGTTTAGGGTTTAGATTTAAGGGTTCAATGTTAGATTTTAGGGTTTTGGATTTATATTTTAGGGTTTAGAGTTCTTTTACTAAATGAAAAAGTGTAGTTTTGAAAATTGGCAACATAAAGGTGTATTTTTGAAAATTTGCACCTCAAGAGGTGTAGTTTTGAAATTTCCCCCTGACAGAAACGTCTAAACGTGTATATGGTTCTTTCTAAAACAAGTAATGTAAAGATAAAACAAGAAAAATGAGGCAGAAAAGTATACTAACGTTGAGAGAGTTTGGCTTCTGTGAATCCAACTTGAGAGGAGAGAAATAGAAGCAGAAGAAACATAGAGAGAACAAGAGAAACGAAATGTGATGTCTTTGAAGCCATATAGTCCACTTTGTCACATTGCCATATAACAGAAGTCCATCTCAAGATATATATAGTCGTATACATGCATCAATAAAATACAATCTCACCAACTACTTCTCCACTCAACCGCGTTTTTACTTGATTTGTCAAAAAAGAGGTCCCTTCCAGTCTTTGTTAATTATTTTTTTCATGCAAAGACTTTTCTTCTTTGATTGTTTCCTTACGAAGACTCATGGACTCATGATAGTGATATATATATAACATTTGATACAAAATAGAACAATAGTGAGATTGCAGGTTGTAAAGAGAACAATAGTGAGATTCCGTTGCCAAAAAAAAAAAAAAAGGTTGTAAAAACTTCATCGTAAGTTTACTGGTTATATAAAAAAAGATTCCGTTGCCAACAATAATGAACTATATACTGTATGACGATTATATATTGAAGAGTTGTACATAAAACAAGGTTTACTGGTTATGGCCAACGATTTCTACGTGGGCTAACAGTTTTTAGTTTTTCCCATACCGGTTCTCAATGCAAAGTTGCAAACCAAACCAGATAGCTCTTTGTCACGGTCGAAACCGGTTCGACCGGTTATATGCGGATTTAATGGATTTCTTTTCATACCGGATCTGAATGAAACCAAACCACGTGCATTTTCTCGGGTAACTGAAAATAAAGTTCCCAAACTTTTCTGTCTCCGCAAATTTTGCATCTTTACGCACACACACTCGTTTGGTGGCAGTCAGATTCAATTCTCATCGAAATGGCGCAGAAGCTTAACTTGGCTAAACTCGCCGTCTCTCCGGTTATCCACCGGTCTAGTTTCCCGTCCACCTTCACCTTCGGCGTTGCCACTTCCGCTTACCAGGTTTCTTTCGATCTGAAGTCTCATCTTCTTCTCTCTGAGTTTCTGCTTCGTCTTGTACTTTTATTGTGTTTTCGAAGTCAATCAAAAGGAAACCCATCTCTCTCGATTTGTGTTATACTTCTGGAAAATGTTGATTTACGAAAAATTGAAACTTTTTGCCTCATTGTCTAGTTGGACTGCAACTGAATGCAAATCGGATTTAAGAAGAATTGATTGTCTTTGTATTGAATGTGGTTTGAAGTCTGTGTAGCAAAGGCTTAGCCATCAACATTATGTAGAAAGTAAAAACTTTGATTCCTCACATGGTCGGTGTTGTAGTTTTGAATTTGTTTGTAGATTAAGCAAAAAGAAACCCATTTTTTCTCAATTTGTTTTGATCTTCTGGAAATGTTGATTTAGGAAAAGATGAAACTTTTGTCTCAGTGGTATCATTGTCTAGTCCTTCATGTAGAGAGGTTTTAGTCGGAGCTAAACTGAATTTAAGTCGGATTTAAGAAGAATTGATTCTCTTTTTATTGAATGTGGTGTAGAGTTTGTGTAGCATAGGCTTCACAAGCAACATTTTGGTCGGTGTTGTATTAAATTACCAACAAATTTTGTAGCTTTCACTGATATAGAGTTTTTGATTGTTTGTAGATTGAAGGAGGTTGGAATGAAGGGAAAAAAGGGCCAAGTATATGGGACAAGTTCACTCATGTTGAAGGTTGGTTTGTGGCTCCTTTTTCAGCTTATCCAATTTCAAACGAAAGATGAAGCTTATGCTGATTTAACTTTTTGTTTCCTCTTGTTTAGGAAAAATTCTTGATGGAACTAACGGTGATATCGCTGTGGATCATTACCATAGATACAAGGTTAAGAAAAGGGATGTTGTTTTACTTAAATGTTATGGTTTGATATCAAAGCTTGGTAGTCTGTATAAGGATCGTTATTATGGTTTCCTTATTTCTTATTCCAATAATTTTCAGGAAGACATTGAACTTATAAGCAAATTAGGATTTGGTGCTTACAGATTTTCAATATCGTGGTCTCGCATTTTCCCTGGTATGTTCACTATGTTTTCATGTAACTTTGACTTGCTTTGGAACCTTAATCATTTGATCTTGAATTTTGGTGGAGCGTTTTGTTTGTCTCTTCATCTTTAAAATGATGGATCGATTCGTGGGATTCCTTTTACAAACATGAAATCTTGAGTTCCTGCTTTTATGCTTGAGACCATAAAATAATAACTCTGTAGCAGTGTTTGTACTTGTCTTCAGGTCTGTATGAAAAAATATAAAGCTTTGCTGATATGAAGGGCTTATTTGTCTTCATTTTACATTTGTTCTAGATGGCTTGGGAACTGAAGTCAATGAAGAAGGCGTTGCTTTCTACAATAATATTATCAATACACTTCTTGAAAATGGTAATTTTCTCTGACTGAAATGAGCAATTTTCCACTTTGTGTTGATTATCGTTTCACAAGATGATTACTATTGCAGGTATTCAGCCGTTTGTAACTCTCTACCATTGGGATCTCCCTGCGCATCTCCAGGACTCATTCGGAGGTTGGACAAGTAGGGAAATTGTGTAAGTAGTAACTTCGTACTAGACTCTTTTGATTTCTGTCTAAGCTCTTCAAAAGCAATAATACATTTATGTTCAGAAGTCTTGTGTATGATTTTTATTTTGACATTAATTTTTCTTTACTTGCAGAGATTATTTTGGCCTCTACGCAGATGCTTGTTTTGCCAGTTTTGGCGATAGAGTAAAGCACTGGATCACAATAAATGAACCTCTTCAGACCTCAGTGAATGGACACTTTGTTGGGATATTTGCACCTGGAAGAAATGAAAAGCCTTTGGTCGAACCGTATTTGGCCTCGCATCATCAAATTCTGGCCCATGCAACTGCTGTTTCCATATATAGAAGCAAGTACAAGGTATAATCACTAACCTATTCTCTGACCATTGTCTATTCTAGTTGCTTTTCTTTTATCTAGTGCCTTAATCCATGCATCTCAATTGCTTGTTAAATTGTTATTTACCCGTTTGCTTTCTGGTTTACCTATATTAATCTAGGAAAGTCAAGGCGGACAAATCGGTTTGTCAGTTGATACTGAGTGGGCCGAGGCAAATTCAGAGAAAGTAGAGGACCAGGTTGCTGCTGGTAGGCGAATTGACTTTCAACTTGGATGGTAAGTAAAAGGGAAGGGTTTGCAAACTTTCAAGTTATATATCATTCCTTTGACACAACAAATTAAATGATTTTGCAGGTTCTTGGATCCTCTGTTTTTTGGAGACTATCCTGCAAGTATGCGCCAGAAGATTGGAGTTAATCTTCCTACATTTACTCCCGAAGAAAAGGAACTCATGCTTCAGAACTCATGGGACTTTCTTGGCCTAAACCACTACACTACGAGGTTAATAGCTCATGTCTCAAACACAGACGCTGAAAGTGACTTTTACCAAGCACAGGAAGTGGAGAGGATCGGTAACAAACACAAACACTGAAATTTCTTTTGCAACTAGCATCTGCTTACTTACTTCCTAGTAATAAACCTCTCTTCTCCTATGTGCACAGCTGAATGGGAAGATGGAGAGCCGATAGGTGAGAGGGTAAGAGCTTTCTTCTTAGTCACCGTTCAAATCTAATGCATGAGCTAGTAATCAACTAAACAAATGTGTACCAATTACAGGCTGCTTCAGAGTGGCTTTATATTGTGCCTTGGGGAATCCGGAAGACATTGAATTACATCAGCAAAAAATACAACAACCCTCCACTATATATCACTGAGAATGGTATTTACCTATCCTTATAACTCTTAAGGTTCAGTTTAATACTGTACAAAGAATAGGCATAGTCTCTCTTAAGATGAGCAGTTTAGTTTTGTTATCTAAATGAACTTGGCATTAGACGAATTATTCATTTGGTCATATCCAACTTGTATTATACATATCCCGAGGTTTTGATCACTTGGTCCAACACAACAGGTATGGATGATTTAGATGACGGAACTGCCTCTATCCATGACATGCTCGACGATAAGCTTAGAGTTACCTATTTCAAGAGTTACCTTGCCAATGTCGCTGCGGCGATCAAGTAAGCCAACATTTTTCCCCTTCATTAATATGTTCAACCAAGATAGAAGTTGACACTGAGAGTGATTTGTTAATGTCTAAAACTGAAACAGTGATGGAGTGGACATAAAGGGATACTTTGCGTGGTCGTTGCTGGACAACTTCGAGTGGGCGCAAGGGTTCACCAAGAGATTTGGTTTGGTATACGTAGACTACAAGAACGGTTTAACCCGTCACCCGAAGTCTTCTGCTTATTGGTTCATGAAGTTTCTGAAAGGTGATGAAGACAACAAAGGTAAAAAAGAGTGAAAACATGAAAGAGAGGAAAAATGAAAGGAAAACCAAAACTACAAGTACATGAAATGCGTTGTGATGTTATAACTTTGTACCAAATAGATAAATTAGTAGATGGTAATGAATGATATGATGGTATAGAGCCATAACAAACAAAATTACTTGGGCTGTTCTTTGTTTTCAAACTCATAAAGCTTTTCTTCTTCGTTTTACCCAACAAGTTATACATGTTTTTAACTCAGAATAGTATTTAGTTATTTACCTATCCTTTCATATACTTTTTTTTTTTTTTTTTTTATCTTAACAAGCTTTTCTATTTTATTGGGGTTTTTAGACTTGAGACTTAATTGCTTGACTCAATATCTTGCTCTCATGCTCTCTGGTCAATTGTGCTTGAGACTTATTAGCAAAATACTTGTTTGACTAAATTTTTGTGTGGAAACAATAATGGACATACGATCATTGTTTGACAAAACAATACAACATAATACAAATTCAATTATATTTTTTGTTTACCACAAAAGCGATACACAAAATGAAGAGCATAACATTAATCCAGAATACTGGAAAACTATCTTCTGTGGACAGCGCTGCTTACAACCATAGCAAATAGGTCGAGACATATGCTGATTGTTACGCAGAAGACGTACCTTTTTATTGTTGCATAACAACCATGAACCATGCTTCATGTAGAAGTCCTGTCCAATCAGACATGGAAGATGCAAGGTGACACAACAGTACTTATCACACGCATAAAAAGGCTCCTTGGTTTCTATCTTTCTCTCGCAAGCTTCACACCAATAAGTCATGGTACTTGCCTTTTCCTTATAAGAAAGAGTGAGTATATGTTTATCATGCTTATACCTCACCTTTTGAGGTAAAGTAGCACACATGAAGCACAAAGCAAAGTCACACTCAATGCAGTTGAATGTTTCGTTTGTGGAATCAGGCATTGGGTTTTTGCAAACCGAACATGTTCTTTCTTCTTCCGGTTTGGATGTCAAGAACAAAGGATGCACGTGACTTTCATGGACTAATGGCTCAGAAACCGTGCCGCACTGCACGTGTAGCTTAAAAGACGAGCATTCTTCTTTACCACACTCATAGAAGAAGCCACCTTTGCAGATCCAAGGACAAGCCGAACATTTATCTCCATTATAGTCTATAACACCATCGTATCCTCCCACTAAAGTGAGAACATGAGGATGTATCGGATGATAAATCTTGCGAGAAAAATTTGCACATGCTTCATGGAGCAAGAAGTCACATTGCATGCACGTGTAGAAGTTACCGAAATAGATTGGCGTGATGCATGCTTGACACTCCTTATCCTCGTCGTACTCTCTCTCCGTGTTCTCATCAAGTCTCAAATGATGACTAAAATGTTGTATGACTCCATCGCTTACCCTCACAAAGGGCTCAAGCGCTTCTTCTTCAACTTCTTCTGGCTGCCCCTCGAGATCTACACCATCCCACACGTTTCTCCGCGTGGCACATTTGGAGTGAGCCACATACGTACAACCCTTGATGCAAGAATAGCCTCCGTGAGTATTGTCGATTCCTCTACGACAAACACCACAAGACCAATCTCCTTGACCGAAAGAAGGAGTCAAAGAGATACGATGATGAGGATGACGTGATATTTTGATGACACGTGGTAAGCTCAGACACCGTTGATGAGCCACAAAGTCACAAGGAGGACATATATAGAAAGGACAGCTTGCGTGCACCAATGCACAGAGGTTGCAGGTTAAAGGATCTTGACTTGGAAACAGGCAAGTGTATGCTCATGCCACAAAGGAGTGAGAAGAGCTTCGACTCCGACTCCGACTCCGAATCCATAGTATCGGGTGGGTGCTAGTTGTAGCCGGTGGTATGAGCTTCCTCCACTGAGAATCGGGATTCATGAGCGTGATGATTTGACTGAGGAGCGATATGAGCTCAAGCTCTGGTTCAAGAGCCAACACTTGAGGAACAAGTAACATGGCCTCCGAGTTGAGATTGATTATCTGAGTCACGAGTGATATGAGCTCAGAGAGCAGCGGCTTCGGCTGAGAAGCCAAATCCATAGAGTCTAAGACGGAGATTGTTCGAGTAACGAGTGATGTGAGCTCCGACGACTCCGGTTTCGGATCCATTGACCTCACCAGAGTGATGATCTGAATCATGTTTGAGATGAAATTCGACGACTCGAAATCCTGATCCATGACGCCGTCGTCGGATCTGATGGATATCACAAGATTCGATGGAATGATTGTTTTGAGGAACCGATGATCATAGCACCTACCTAACGCTAAGCAACTAGCACATTTTCTTCTTAAACAAAACAAAAAGTCATTGAATGATTAGGTTTTAGTTTTGATGACGTAGCGTAGTGTACAAGAAATTTTTTAATTACTAGCAAGTAGTGGCGACGGAACAAAAAATATAACGTCATTTTTTTTATTTTTAAATACCAACAACTTTCACCGGATTTATAAAGTAGACAATCATCAGCGCACAAAAAAAAAAAAAAAAAAAAAAAAAAAAAAAAAAAAAAATTATACCTTTTGCTCTTTGGTTCCAAAAATCATACTCTGATCGACTTAAGCTTTTCTTCTTCGTTTGTACCCAATAAGTTATACGTATTTCTATTTCTTCGTTTTCTTGTTCTTACCGAGGAAACTATTTGTGAAAAGATTGTTGATATTTTGAAATGTTACCTAGGGTTCTACTAGCTTTAGCAATGTGGAAGCGAGTGTTTACTAAACATATTGGGGGATACCGGTTTTGATATACAAAATCTTAAGAAAAAAAAGAAAAACCCGAAGAACTGATTTGCCGAATCGAATCAAACCAAAATCATTTTGCAAAATAACCGATTGGTTTGTATCTCAAGGGTTGTTGATATTTTGGAAGAGTACTTAGGTTTCTACTAGTTTAAACAATGTGGAAGTATGCAAATCACATGATCTACTAGTTAAAACAGTGTGGAGTGTTTACTATATAACATTTATTACGACATTGTGCTAATCACATGATCGACTAGTTTAAACAACGTGGAGTGTTTACATCTAATATTTAACGTAGGGCGTTACATTTATTGCAACAGTTAACACATGCTCATACTATCTTTTTTGATATCATATTAATTGACTAGGTCCGGGATATTCATGGTTGTCCACTACATACTTATGAGGATCTGGTACATTATTCTCCTTTTAGCTTATCAAACCAACCAAACAAACATTTTGAGATACGTTTTATGCCAAAATCACAAGAATGCAAATTTGGTTATGCCAAGAAAGGTAAATAAAACACATATGGATCACATGAAAGACATTGAGAAATACATAGACACGATAAGTATCTAAAACCCCTATTCAAGTTGTCTCTCTAATTATATCTCAAAACACATTGTACATTTGAAAACTCCATATTCAGTTACGCAAAAAAGGTTCATAATTCAGTTTATCAATGTATAACAGACTAACAGTAGATCGAGACTGACAGATGCATTCTAGAATTTTATGATCTGTCTAGCAAAAATTTTTATAGTAACATATACAATTGATTTGGTAAAATAATATTTATACTTTGGATTTTTCAAACTCGTTAAAGTAAAAATGGTAGAAATCTGAATAAAGATAAGAAAAATAAATCAAAATAAGATAAGATCACTCATAAATCCCAAGGTCCCAATTCATCTCCTTCAGGAGATTTTGCAATTTTTTTGTTTTATGTATAATAAGGCAACCCTGAATAAATATGTATATCATCTGAACACTGAAACATTTGCCCATAATTTTTCTCATCATCTTTATCAAAACAGAATTTTCCTCATCACTTATGACGTAATAATTGTGGTTCATCGTGGATATATAAGTAGGTGGCGGCCTCATGGAATCTAGAAGAAATTAATTGTTAATTAAAATAAAATAAAAAAAGAAGGAGAGAGAGAGAGAGAGAGCAAGAGTGAGAGAGAGGAATAAATTATCTTAATTAAGCCCGAAATAAATTATGAAAATTGCATCGTCTTCCCCGCTAATCGCCGTTGTCTCCAGCTCAGGCTCATCGGTGAGTTGACTTATTCATTATGAACATGTGTCTCTATTAAATCATTCACCAAATTTCAAGTTTTTCGTCTCCTTTCCAGTCTTCAAATCCGACCCGTAAGTCATTTTCCGTTTGTTCAATCGATAATTTTTCCCCGTAGAATCTTTTGATCATTGGAGTAAGAAAAACCTTAAAAATGTGATCTTGTTGTAATTTTATGTTTGGGTTTACGAAAGTTTCAGTAATTTCCATTTTGATGATCTGACTGTGACATGATTTTTGTTTTATTCTGGGATTTGATTAGACTTTTTTTTTCTTCAGGATCCGAAAACAAGCGGATCACTTGGATCTCGAATCCTTCCGGCTGCTCACAGGTTAGTGTTTTTTTTCAGCCTATTTCTGATTTTGATTTCGTAATTTATAGTGTAACTTAGAAATCATGCGGTAGGACGAAGTTTGATACAATGATGATAGCAATGATATAATGAAATGATGATGAGGGTGGTCAGTGGTGATGAATATGGTGTTGTTTATGATTATATGATGATGAGTCAGGGTTTATGGCCAAGGATTTAAAAGTCTTGATGGCTCTTTGTTGATTTGCCCGTTGCTTTGAATATCCGTCTTTTGAACTTTGAATCACATTCATGGCTTGTTTGTGTCTTTCTTGATTAGTGTTTATGAATTGGTTTGAAGTTAAGAGTTGTAGTCGTCTAGACACTTTGCAGCAAGTTGTATAGCTCATCCTTCATTTTTGTCTGTAGGCGAGCATGAAAAATACCAACTTTTAGTTCTGTGATTAGAGCAAGACAAGTTTTATATTTGAGTTCTTGCAGATTTGGATTGTCATTGGATTTATTTAGTGTGGTTTTTCTTTAAGTTTTACCATGACTTCTAAGTTCTAACCCTGTAAGTATACCAGATCATCCCCATCGGACAAACTTCTCCGTTGTAGGACAATGTTTTCCAGTCACCTACGGCATATCGAGTCCATGTCCATTCGACCGTCAGGCGCGGGGAAGATCTCTCAAATAAACGCCGTTGTTTTGGGGGAATCCCTTGCCTCTGAGGAGAATGATCTCATCTTTCCCAGCAAGGATTTCTCCAGCCAGGCTCTTGTTTCCTCCCCTCAACAGGTCTCTCTCACTCTCTTTTCTAGTTACCAACTGAGTCCTTAGATTAACACACCTCATCTTCTCTGCTTGCTTTTTATGATCTGCCAAATCGTTTACCTTCTTGTTATTGTACGCAGTACATGGAAATGCATAAAAGGTCGATGGACGACCCTGCTGGGTTTTGGTCTGACATTGCGTCTGAGTTTTACTGGAAGCAGAAATGGGGTGACCAAGTGTTTTCTGATAATTTCGATGTCAGGAAGGGTCCTATTCACATTGAGGTGGATGTCTTCTTTTTCTCCTTTCGTTGTTATTTTTAATTGCTTTACTTTCGGCATAACATGTCCGTGTGCTACCAGTGGTTCAAGGGGGGAATCACCAACATTTGCTACAACTGCTTGGACAAAAACGTTGAAGCTGGTTTGGGTGATAAAACAGCCATTTACTGGGAAGGCAATGAACGTGGTGTAGATGCTTCCTTGACTTACTCTGAGTTGCTCCAACAAGTTTGTCAGGTATAAACATTACTCTTGTTTCTCATAATTTATCTGGCACTGAATTTGCCTTGCCTCCGTTGCTGCAGCTTGCTAATTACTTGAAAGATATTGGAGTGAAGAAGGAAGATGCCGTCGTAGTTTATTTACCAATGTTGATGGAACTTCCCATCGCTATGCTTGCATGTGCACGGATCGGAGCTGTTCATTCGGTAAGCTGTGAAAATTGTACATTTGTCTACAATGCAACATGTGCCTGATTCATAAACACAAAACCAGTTCCTGAGGTTAATTCAATTCTCCCCCAGGTCGTTTTTGCTGGATTTTCTGCTGACGCTCTTGCCCAAAGAATCATTGATTGCAAGCCAAAAGCAGTACTGACTTGCAATGCTGTTAAAAGAGGCCCTAAGACCATAAACCTTAAAGCTATTGTTGATGCTGCACTCGACCAATCCTCTAAAGATGGAGTCTCTGTAGGTTAGTCCATTAAGCAGAATCTGTATTTTTGGCATCAACTGGATGCTCCAATTTATCATTTTCTGGTTTTTGCTCTTAAGAGTTTGCACAACTGTCCTTCAAAACATCTTTTCCTCTCTTTACTCTTTATTATTCGTTCGTTCTCTGAGCACAGTAGAGAAAATATGGGAAACAGACATTTGCCTGTTTGTTTGATTGGTTCATAACTAATGATTTTCTGGCTGTTCTGTCTCTTGATTCTCGTCAACCAGGCGTATGCTTGACATATGACAACTCATCAGCGACAACAAGGGAAGAGACTAAATGGCAGAATGGAAGGGATGTGTGGTGGCAGGTAACTGCAGACCTGTTTAATAATTGGCAAAATGCAATCGTTTCTTGTTGCCACCGGTTCTTAAAGTCATTTGTGGGTAATGGTTATCTCTTTAGGATGTCATTCCTAAATATCCAACATCGTGTGAGGTGGAATGGGTTGACGCGGAAGATCCCTTGTTTTTGCTCTACACCAGTGGAAGTACCGGGAAGCCAAAGGTAATTTTGGTCCTTACTTATATTGAATTTTTAACTTGGTGTCTTTTAGTTTCTGTCTTTGATATGCGTTCTTTGAAGGGTGTCCTACACACAACTGGAGGATATATGATCTACACTGCTACAACATTCAAATACGCATTTGACTACAAATCAACAGATGTATACTGGTATGCAAAGACACTTGTCTTGATTGTTAAAAAATCCTTACTAAAAGCTAAGCGGTATAAAGTGCTAATCTCTTTACTTCTCTGATATAAGGTGTACAGCAGATTGTGGTTGGATCACTGGCCATAGCTATGTAACTTATGGACCGATGCTCAATGGAGCCACCGTTGTTGTCTTTGAAGGGGTAATCCATTTGAATCATAATTTAACTTTATGTTTCTCTTCCATAGTAATACATTATTTTTCTTACAAAGCTATCAGCATTTAAGCTTATGAATGTGTGCAAATGAGTTTTACTTTCCATCGCTTTCATTTGGATTGAATTGTTGATTGTGATATTATCATCTGGTTTCGAACAGGCTCCAAACTACCCTGACTCTGGACGCTGTTGGGAAATTGTTGACAAATACAAGGTTTCGATATTTTACACTGCTCCAACTTTGGTGAGGTCTCTCATGCGCGATGATGATAAGGTAAGATATATGCGATCTCTCGTTGTAATGAAAAAATAACCATCAATATACTGATGCTTCGAAAGCTACAAGTACATGATATTTTGATCCGTCCTTCAAATTCTTGTATAGTAATTAAAGCCTTATGTAGGGAAATAATACTTTAGATATCTAAATTGTTTACTTATATTTCCGTTTTCAATTTATATAGTATGTAACAAGTCATTCTCGCAAATCACTACGAGTCCTTGGAAGTGTGGGTGAGCCCATCAATCCGAGTGCCTGGAGGTTGGAACTCTATTATCTCTAGTCTTTTATTTATGTGATCAGTTGAACGGGAAGTTTATTTAATAGTTCATGGATACTCTGATGTAGATGGTTCTTCAATCTAGTCGGTGATTCAAAGTGTCCCATTTCTGATACGTGGTGGCAAACTGAAACTGGTGGCTTCATGGTGACTCTTCTCTCTTGCTCTTTACCTCTCTTGATACCTCTTTGCATTATTTTCTCTCTCTCTCATGTGCATTAAATTTCATGGCAGATAACCCCATTGCCAGGTGCTTGGCCGCAAAAGCCTGGTTCAGCTACCTTCCCTTTCTTTGGTGTTCAGGTCTGTGATCTATAGTGCCAAATAGATTTAGTATGTTGCTTCTTCCTTTAGATATACGTCTTTGGAGGACTTCACTCTCATCTCTCTCTCTGTATCTGCTGCAGCCTGTCATAGTTGATGAAAAAGGCAATGAAATCGAAGGCGAGTGTAGTGGTTATCTTTGTGTGAAAGGTTCATGGCCCGGGGCGTTTAGAACTCTGTATGGGGATCATGAAAGATATGAGACCACCTACTTTAAACCTTTTGCTGGATATTATTTCAGTGGTGATGGTTGCAGCAGGTAGATCATTTAATCTAATTCGTTTCTTTTCACAAAAACCAATTTTGGCAGTTCTTTGTGTATCATCTTTCAGTTATCGCATAGCTACAGGCATGTTTATCTATTGATATGATCCAATGCTGGATGAGTTTTCATGGCTTTTATCTAAATTTGATTTTGTGCTCCAGAGACAAGGATGGTTACTTCTGGCTTACGGGAAGGGTTGATGATGTTATCAACGTCAGGTAGAACAAAAATTCACAAATCAATATCACTAAATTCCCTAAACTTCCAATTTTTTCCCAACCGCTCAAATCTGTACTTATGTTTGGATATTTTTATTTGAATGCACAGTGGTCATCGAATCGGAACTGCTGAAGTGGAATCTGCTCTGGCTTCACATCCCCAATGTGCAGAAGCAGCTGTTGTAGGCGTAGAACATGAGGTATGTGGACTGATTACGCAATATGCATACATGATTTGGGATAGGAAGCATATTGGAACCCTTTGCCTATGTTAGTCATTGCGTATAATTCGAAAAGGCTTAGGATGTTTAGGATGTGGAATAATTGGAACTGGCTTTAGAGCCATTACAAAGCAGAGAGGTTCCTGGTTCTCTATTACAAAACATAAGGTCTAATAAGTTTGGTTCTTATCAGAGATCACATGAATTAACCTTCAAGCCTCATGCTTGTATCAGGTAAAAGGTCAAGGAATCTATGCGTTTGTCACTCTTGTAGAAGGTGTTCCTTACAGTGAAGAGCTTCGGAAAAGCCTTGTACTCATGGTCCGAAATCAGGTATGATATATATGAACAAAAACTGAATAGAGAATGCTAATCTTAGATGAAGTGTTACTGCACATTTTGTTATTGTATTGAGTTTTGGTAACACTTTTGCCATTTTTTTCAGATTGGAGCATTTGCGTCCCCGGACAAAATACATTGGGCACCAGGATTGCCAAAGACGAGAAGCGGTAAGATAATGAGGAGAATCTTGAGAAAGATTGCTTCAAGGCAATTAGAAGAGCTCGGAGATATAAGCACACTTGCAGATCCTAGTGTAGTTGATCAGCTTATTTCACTTGCTGATGTGTGATCCCTTTTCTTTTTAACTCTGAATGGAGAGTCTGTGGAGTTTTGTTCATCTATGTTTTTATAGAGGGAATTGGTGAAAACAAAAAAAACCTGAAACAACAAGATTCAGGTTCTTGTGAGGAATAAAGCGGGCAGACGATTTCGTTATGTTTCTAAATAAAGGAATTTTATTTTTTTCCGTCTAGATTATTGTTTTATTACAAATGATAAGAACAATTATTTCACAATTATATACAACAGGTTTGTTGTATATTACACTGTTGTATATTACAACAGGTTTGTTGTATATTACACTGTTGTCTTGATGTTTCCATAAAAATAAAGAAATTTTTTAATCTGTCTACAGTATCTTTTATTAACAGTCCAAAACTGTATCTTCTTTAGTAATAAGCTAACTGATCAAACTTGAAATTTGTTCAAATTTTTACTTATTTTTTTCTGAAACAACAATAGAAGTATTGAAACGATTCAAGAGAAAGTATCCTTGTAACAAGAGGTGATGATGAAAACGCAGTCGTAGTTGACTTTCAAAGTCTAAAGAGAAGTCGACATTGTCGGCCACATGCCTAAAAGTGGCTTCTTTTAGATTGGTATTCTTCCACTAATGCATTTCATATTTTAATCAAACATTTTCTTTTGTTACGAGATGCCCCTACTAAATAATCATCTAAAAGGTCCTTAATCAAGTCAAATGTGTAGTCTTTCTAATAACAGTTGCAAGAAAACGATGGTATAGACTATAGATTATACAATCTTCGAACATTTCATGTTATGAAACCCAAATCTAACAAGTCTTTATATGTTTTGTGGTTTTTTTGTTGCAACATTCAAGCTTCTTCTTTTCTTCTAGTGATGTGTTTTTTTTTTGTCAACATAGTGATGTGTTTCTCTAGTTTGAATTAAGAGACATAATAGATGAGGAAACTCCTCCCATGCTTCCACCAACCATTTAAAATATTCATTATACAAGTTGATGGAAGTATATATACATGTAGGATCGATGAAGAAGAGACAGATTTGTGAGAAGAGAAGCATCATGGGTACTCAAAACAACTCACACATCTTTACAATTCTAATTTCTTTGCTCCTCCTCTCTCCTTTATTTCTCAGCCATTCATCACAAGCTTTCTCTGTTGGTTTAGCATTACATCGCAAAATCAGTAAGTTACTAAATTAACATATGTACTTTCAAAATTTCAAAAGAAAAAAAACATATCTCCTTTCATATACGTGTGAATGATTTGACGTTTTTTAGTTGGTTCGCTCTAAAGATTACATACATACATATGCTGATATGCATAGTATCATGTTGTACATTTTGTTCCTCGTTTCTATTAATGTTCACAATACATTAGAGTTTAGCTATTAACCTACCGTATGACTCAGGTGTTTATAATCTCAATTATAATTTGGCCAAAACTAAATCTGCATGATCCATTACGATTGATAGTTCACTTAGTCTGAGTCATGTTACATATCAATTTTACTAATCATATTTACAAGAAACACGTATATATGCTAATGTTCCATTGTTTACTAATCAAAATGTATATATATTCTTTAGATACCGTTAATTTTTTTGTTAGTACTACACATTTATCCCTTATAGCAATGGACTATTGGACTGTATGTTATGACTTGCAGCAAGGGAAAAAAATGGGGTGAGACAAATTGGATACCAAAGAAAAGTACAAGTAAAGCCGAGTGACACGAGAAGAGGCCCATCAAAGGGTCATCCTCCGGGCTCCCCAAGACTATGATGACTCTATGATCTTCTCGTTACCCTTATATAATAAGATATGGCACTAATGTTTATAACAACACTAATGGAATAGTTGGTTGTTCAAGATCTATGTATCAATATATGGTGGAAGTTGAGTTTTTGTTCTTAATTTAGAACTCCAAAATTGGAAAAGAGATTTACATTGTATGGTCTTTGGCCTAAAGAGACTGTGATATCCAAAACATAACTCTTTGGATAAATGTTTTTAAACAGCGTTATTTTTTTTACAAAATGCCCCAGATAAATAATCAACTAAGGTCTACCTTAATCACGTCAAATTTATAGTTTTCACTATAGTTAATTTAAAAAAAAAAAAAAAAAAAAAAAACTGTGGAAAAGTATGGATTCATATCAAAGTGATTGGACTGCCCTAAATAACAGACAAGTTTCTCGGAAACATCTGAACAAATCATATTTGGTTTAATACTTTAATTTCTTGAAAATTATCAGCAAGGATATAATGATGTTGTAACTTGTAATTTGGGGTTAGATATACAAAAGTTGGGAAGTTAACTCAAAAATTAACTCGTAAGAATATCAGATTATAAAAACGATTTAATCTCTGGAGTGGAGAAGTATAAATGTATAACCACATAGTTGACTCTTCAACCTTAAAAAGCCATACAAAGTAATCGAGCCGTTGCACAAATCACATTCTTCTTCCCTAACTTTTATTGAAAACGTTTGTCTTCCTCCTTTTTTTTTTTTTTTTTTTGGTTTTAAGTCTTCCTCCTTTATGTCCTAACGGTCATATTTTCAAAAAGTAAACAAATACGACCGTTAATCCCAAAAAAATTCCACCTTTATCGCTTCTCAATCTTCTTGCGTATATAAACCCTAAAACCAAGTGGACAAATCAAAACAAAAAGCAAAAACAGAGTCCTCTCTTCTCTTTCTCAAAATTTGTAAAATCCTTTCACAAATTTCTCAAAACTTGAAATGGGGATCTCAAAATCGAAAGGCAACACACACAACATCTTCCTCCTCTGCAACTACATCCTCTTAGGCTCAGCGTCAAGCTGCATCTTCCTCACAATCTCCCTCCGTCTCTTCCCATCTCTCTCCGGCCTCTCCCTCATCTTCCTCCACGCTCTCACCATCGCCACCGCCGTCTCCGGCTGCTCCGTGTTCGCCTCCTCCACCGCCACCACCACGAGCGACAGACTATACGGTGCACACATGGTGGCCACAGTCCTCGCGGCCATATTCCAAGGAGCAGTCTCTGTTCTGATATTCACGAGAACAGGGGATTTCCTAAGGACACTTAAATCGTATGTTCAGGAAGAAGACGGAGCAGTGATTCTCAAGCTCGCTGGTGGTTTGTGCGTTTTGATGTTCTGCTTGGAGTGGGTTGTTCTTGTGTTGGCGTTTTTGTTGAAGTATAGTGATTATCTGGATGAGAGTGTTGTAGATGATAACGGTAATGGTAAGTTTCAGAGGCAAGACGAAGATCTCAAAGATTGGCCTTCTTATCCATTTCAACTCAAGCTTTAAAAAGTTTCCATTTTGATTTCAATTCGAAATTTTTGGTTGATTTTATAATATTGATGTTTGTGTTTGGTTGATCCTTGTGATTTGAGAGTTTTATGTGATTATGTCGCACTTTAAATGAGTGTACAAAATAATTCATCAGAGTATTTTTCTACTCAAAATAGTATACTTTTACTTGTTTAAATGTTGATGAATATTTGAAACACAGAAATGGTCTTCAAGTTTTGGTCTTGAAACATATGAATGTAGAAGAACAACAATAATATTGAGCACAAAATATTATATTTACTTTAACGGATGTAATAGCTGAAAAAAAAAAAAAAAACAAGATTGATAAACATTTTAAGTTATTTCAAGAACTACACTTTTTGAACATCTAAAAATCATACTTATAATATTTACAAAACATGGATAATTGGATATATCAATTATTGTTTGAGATCAGTCTTGCTTTCAACAATGTGTGTCCAATAATTGTTTGATCCAATTCATTTCATTTCATTTGGCTAAGAAAACATTAGGATGATGTCTTCTACAACGTCCACCCAATTCGCCACGTCGTCATCATCCACGTTTACATTAACCAATTAAAATTAATAAAAAAACAAAAATTAAGTTTCCAAAAGAAGAGGAAACAGAGAAAAATGCTGAACAGAGCAGTTGCTTCCGCCGTCTCTCCGGTCTCTTCTTCTTCTTCTCTCTTACCCAATTCTAAACCTTTCTTCTCCGTCAAAAGCCTCTCTGGATTCCGATCTTCATCGTTCTGCGGCTACACTCGTAAAATCACCCATAAGCATCTCCGACTCCGAATGACGAATCCTAGTACGACGGCGAGAGCTATGGCTACGCAGCAGCTCGAGAACGCCGATCAGCTTATCGATTCCGTCGAAACTTTCATCTTCGATTGTGACGGTGAGTACCATCATCAGTCATAAAAATGTTAATTTGATAATGTTAAGAGGACTATTGGGTGACGAATCAGGAAGAGAATGCTATAATCTGAACAATTTGTGTGTGTTTTGTAGGAGTGATTTGGAAAGGAGATAAATTGATTGAAGGAGTTCCTGAAACACTTGATATGCTTCGTGCCAAGGTTGGTAAGCAAAATCTCTTGATCAGTTTTTAGTTTATTTTGCAGAAATGGTTCATATTTTAGCTTTTTTAATTTTGCAATGCTGAGTCAAAATCTTTTCAAAGTTTGTACCTTTTAACAGCAATTGCTTTTTTGCAGGGAAAGAGATTGGTTTTTGTTACGAACAACTCAACAAAGTCAAGGAAACAATATGGCAAAAAGTTTGAGACTCTTGGCCTGAGTGTTAACGAGGTTAGTGACTTTGGTTCACAATGCAGCTACTCTAGTTAGGTGCTCTTAAGTCTATGATTGGTTTTGATTAGAAAGTTTCGTTTTTTATTTATTTTCAGGAGGAGATATTTGCATCTTCTTTTGCTGCAGCTGCGTACTTGCAGTCTATTGATTTCCCAAAAGATAAGAAGGTTAAGCCATCTTTTAATCGAAACTATTCAGCCAACAGTCAAATATGTTTTTTCCCTTTGCAAGTTGTGATGTATATATCTGTTCAGGTGTATGTGATTGGTGAAGAGGGAATATTGAAAGAGCTCGAGCTTGCTGGTTTTCAATACCTTGGAGGTCCTGTATGTATCATCATGACCTTTCTTACTAGCTTCTTGGATTTGTTTTTTTCGCATAGATGTTAACATTCTCTTCTTGGTTACTCCTAAATACTTGTGCTAGAAAAAAGAGCAACATTTTGAAAAAATATTCCATCTCTTTTTTTTTCTTTCTCTGTGTGCGCAAAAGAGTAATTGTTCTCAACAGTTAACTGTTCAAATGCAGGATGATGGTAAAAAGCAAATTGAATTGAAACCAGGGTTTCTAATGGAGCATGAGCATGATGTATGTCATCATCCTTCCTACACATTTCTTTGTGCTTCTGTTTCTGTTTCTCTCCTTAAACTTGTAGAAAGCATGAAATTGTTGTTCTTGATACTGAAACTGAGTATAGTTTCACTAAAAATGCTTTCCAGGTAGGAGCTGTTGTGGTTGGATTCGATCGCTATTTCAACTACTACAAAATTCAGTAAGTTCTCCAGTTATATGTTTTCCTCCACATTTCAGGACTGATACTATTGCTGGTTTATCATGAATGAGCCATGCATTAGAAATTTTTGTGTTAAGTTTCGTCATTGTTTGGTTTGGTTATCTAACAACTTCTTTTGAATGGAAGGTATGGAACACTCTGTATCCGCGAAAACCCGGGGTGTCTTTTCATTGCTACAAACCGAGATGCTGTCACACACCTTACGGATGCTCAAGAATGGGCAGGTTTGCTTCTTGTATGCGTAATTTATTTACTGTTTTTCTTTAGCTGTAGTTTGAGCGTTTCAGTTATAATCTTCTTCTTTTAGGTGGTGGCTCTATGGTTGGTGCTCTTGTTGGATCCACTCAACGTGAGCCTCTTGTTGTTGGAAAGCCCTCAACTTTCATGATGGACTATTTAGCAGACAAGTAAGGGGCTTCTCTAGATTCTCATATTCCTTCTTTCTTCTGCTTAATCAAAGAAATGGAATTGAGTTCAAGAAGTTGTGGCTGAGTTCCTTCAGTGTATATCCATCGTTAACTTATCAATGAATGAATGTGATCTATACTTTCTTCTTATAAACCATCACATAAGATATAGTTCACTAATATTGTGCAATGTGCAGATTTGGAATCCAAAAGTCACAGATATGCATGGTGGGTGATAGATTGGACACTGACATTCTGTTTGGACAGAATGGTGGTTGTAAAACTCTGCTCGTCCTCTCCGGTACATAACTAATCCAGAAACACTTCCTCTATCTACATTTTCTCTCCTTTTTAACTATCTAAGTCAGTAAAAAAATATTATTCATTTTTGTTCTTGAAGGTGTTACTTCAGTCTCAATGTTGGAAAGTCCTGAGAACAAGATACAACCAGATTACTACACGAGCAAGATTTCTGATTTTCTGACCCTCAACAAAGCTACTGTATAATCAAGTAAGCGCGGCGTCAATCACTCTGTACAACTCAAGAAATCGAATTGTTTCACTGGTTTACAAATACAGAATTTCATACATTTTCTCTGTGCCTTTTGTGTATAAAGCTGAATCTTGCTTGCTTTGGCAAGCTTCTTTTATGTGCAGTGACTTACCTTCGTGTGCATTGCGAATTAGCGAGCCAATGAGTATTGTTTAGTAAGAGTTTTTACAGAATTGAATGTTAAAAAGATGAACCAGTCTCTGATCTGTAAGAGGAAGATTCTTCATCGACTTTAAACCCCTTTGTATGTGAATGGTTAAAACACTTGAGTTACACAATTGGACAAGAAGGATCTGCATAGTGAATAACCTTATTCAACTCTTAACATATGGAATCAACATGTATACTATGGTTACTTCAATCCAAACTTTATTTAACTGCTGAATCTACGTAGACCTTCCGATACACATGTTATTCCTCTGTGTCTTAGTATCTGATCGGTCCATTGAGGCTGTCTGATGCAAACTGAGATACAGATGGGCGAGACAAAGAACGAATGCAACTCAAAGATCATTCGAAGCATACTATAAAACCTGATGCTTTGTTGTAAAGGAAATTGAAGTGGGTATGCGAACCAAAGTACCTGATCAACTATTGGATTTGTTGATGTGGTAAACTCGTGGGTCATTCCTTGCCAAACAACCTTTCCCTCATACAGAAACAATAACCTAAATCGAAAAACGAAGCAGCTTTCAAGACTTACATCCCCAAAAGATAAATGGTTCATATACATATATTATACTTCAAGATTATAGAGTAAAAGCAGAACCTGTCTACAGCTCTTTGGATAGTGCTATGTTGATGAGTAACAACCACATAAGAAGCTATATTTCCAGGTTTTCCAACTGCATCCTCGCCCGTCATGTGAACAGAGGGATAAGATCTTCAACTACAGTTGAGGCTATAGGATCAAGTCCTACTGTTGGTTCATCATACAAGAGCACCTAAAAACCAACATTAAATTGAAGCAATTGTTTGTTTTTGTTTTGTCTCTTAAATGCTCAAACCTTTCATTTCAGGTTCCTTACAGTTGTGTTCGTTTCGACCCTGATGACCGTGAGGCCATCCGGATTTTCTTGGACCATATGATCGCGAAGGAGAACATGGAGCTGGATTGTTTCCTCCTAAACCATGATGAGAAAGAGCTTTATCAGATCACTTTTGGTGATCATGTCCCCTATCTTACTTACGTCAGACCTAACTAGTATTAGTGCTTTCTCAGAGGAAGACCTGGGAAAATGGAGATTCTGTCGAAAGTGAAAATTGAAGAGATATTATATGTTGAATGCCGAGTTGACAATTTTGTGAAAATTTCTGATCAGAAGATGTGTTTGTTTACGTCATTACTAATTTTCATGATGAAGAAAAATGATCAATGCATCGATCACTGAATCGCTTGGAACATTTTTGTAAGAAAAAATTTAAACTCGTTTCAAGCTCTTAAACATCTGGGTAATATACTATTTGCACCTCAACTGCACATGATTCGAATCAGAATGCTTTATGGAGAATCAATTCTCAATACCCTCACATCTCATGTAAAGTTTATCCATTGTGATATCTTAAAAATCATGATTTTATTTCTAATCAACAAATTTTACGAAGCATGGTCCATGGCATTTGGACTTAAAACTATGTGTGTAAAAGGAATATAAGGTCTTTGTCATACAAGGCCTCGTCGATTTCAAAGCTGAAACGGGCGGGGAAGAGTCATAATGAAGACAAAAATGTAATTACTAATGTAAAAATTATTAGATTTGAGTCTAGTTGATACCAAATTCATGGAGAAGATTATGAGTAAGGTTAGAAGAAAGAGTAAAGAGCCGGCTTTTTGTGAAAGCTCATGATCAAAACCCAAGACTTTTGAACTGTCCAAGAAGATTTGGTGATTGTGATGTGTGAAAGACTGAAATCAGTGAAGAATGTGAAGAATGAGAGGAGAAAAAAAATAACTATGTGGTAGGAGAAAGATAGTAGAATGTTGTTGATTCATGGAGAAAATTGATTTAAGAAGTCATTTCTTGTAGGATCAATACCTAACACGTACAGTTCCAAAATGATTCTCAAAGTGTCTTCTGCTCACATACAGTTTAGAAGCAACCACTTTGAGCAAACTTGTACACGGTCCTTATCTAGTTTTTTTTTTTTAATTATATGAACCTTCTCAAAAACTTGAGTTACACAATTGGACAAGAAGGTTGTGCCTAGTGAATAGCCTTATTCAACTCTAAACATATGGAATCAACACGTATAATATGGTTACTTCAATCCAAACTTTATTTAACTGCTGAATCTACTTAGACCTTTCGATACACATGTTCTCCCTCTGTGTCTTAGTATCTGATTGGTCCATTGAGGCTGCCTGATGCAAACTGAGATACAGATGGGAGAGACAAAGAAAATAATGCAACTCAAACATCATTCAAAGCATACTATAAAACCAGATGCTTTACTGTAAAGGAAATTGAAGTGAGTATGCGAACCAAAGTACCTGTTGAACTATTGGATTTGTTGATGTGGTAAACTCGTGGGTCATTCCTTGCCAAACAACCTTTCCCTCATACAGAAACAATAACCTAAATCGAAAAACGAAGCAACTTTCAAGAGTTTCATCCCTATGTGATAAATGGTATATTTACACTTCTAGATTAGAGAGTAAAAGCAGAACCTGTCTACAGCTCTTTGGATGGTGCTATGTTGATGAGTAACAACCACATAAGAAGAGATATTTCCGGGTTTTCCAACTGCATCCTCGCCCCTCATGTGAACAGAGCGGATAAGATCTTCAACTACAGTTGAGGCTATAGGATCAAGTCCTGCTGTTGGTTCATCGTACAAGAGCACCTGAAAACCAACATGAGCCGAAAAGGAAGATTTACAAAATAAGATAACAAGAACTTCGAAAATCCACTGATAACTTCTTATTTCCACCACATCTTTTTAGTTTCATCTCTGAAGCAAGAGTCAAGCATTCATGAATTGGTATGTATGTTCAGATTACCTCTGGCTCTATGACATCTTTTGTTGTATCGAAAATTATCGAACGGGCTAAAGCAACCCGTTTCTTCATCCCACCAGATAGCTCAGAAGGTAGCCGATTCTCAACACCCTGATTTTATTAGTTAGAAACAAATGTTAACCAAGAGGAGCTCTTGACAAGCTCTAAACTAGTTTCCAATAAGAAATTCAACACCCTGATTTAAACCTAGTTACTAAAGTAAGGTTTACCTTCAAACCAACAGCTGCCAAGGTTTCTGTAACAAGCTCAGATATTCGAGTCTCAGGCATTTTTGATCTTTCATATCTGAGATTCATAAACATGAAAAGCTTTCAATTGATACGAATGTGGAAAGCATCTGCCTGTATACAGTAGAAAGGAAGTTTAAAGATGGGATGTTACAAAAGGAAGCCAACGTTTTCACGAACAGTCAAAGAATCAAAGAGAGCTCCACTCTGAAATACCTGTTGGATTGAGCAAATATAAGACACAACCTCAAAACTAACGACGAGAATAAGTACTTAGGAAGCACATACCAAGCCAATACGAAGTCCAGATATTTCCTCATCACTAATCAGACCGACTCGCTTTTTGCCGCGTATATACACCTCTCCCTGCTCATCAAAGCATTAGACACACTCTATATAATCTGAAAGAAATCAAACAATATTGTGAAGAAATATTGTAGACCTTGTCTGGAGCAAGAAGACCAGCAATGATCTTTAAAATCGTCGACTTTCCAGTCCCTGAAGGACCGATAACTCCAACTGCCTCGCCATGTCTAATCTGCATAAAAAAAAAAATGGCTACGAAAGTTTCTTAAGGTGTCACTAGTGAAACTAATTTTGAAGCAGCAATGAAGGAAGAAGAAGAAGAAGAAGAAGAGACCTTAAAGCTAACGCCTTTCAAGATATGCTTATCCCCAAACGATTTATAGACATCTCTGCATTCTATAAGAACATCTGAGTCACTCTCAGGCTCTACTTCTTCATGATTACCTCTCAAATTGGAGAGATTCTGTGAAACAATATCACATTTTCAATGTTAAACATGAGCTCTAGACTAAAGTAGTAACCAAAAATGCAGAAAATTTCCAAATTACAACGCTTGGATCATTTCAGAGATGAATTCATGTATAGTGTATACACAGAAAAATAAGAGCTTTCACAACAGACTAAAGGAATGGCAAAAATTTGGTAAGATTGAGAGAAAAGAAGAAAGCAAAAATGGACAATACAGTGAATTTGGTGGACGAGAATCCATCCTTGTTCAAGTTCCGAGGAGGAGGAGCTATGCAACAGCTTACAACTTTCTTCTGCTTATGAAACAACCTAACACTCCTTGTTGCCGCGACGGTGGAATCGCTGCCGGAACGGTCACGGGAGCATAAACTAGGAAGAGACGTAGCGGAAGAGGATAAAGAAATCATGATTCAGGGAAGAGATTCTGAAGAAATTGTTAGTTTCGAGGAGAGGAGAGGATCGGAGATGATTTGAACACTCGTGTGGAGAAATTGGAGAGTAATTTGAGAGAAACGGAGAGAATTAGAAGAGTATCATCGCCGGTAATGGAAACATCGATTTTTTTCCCGGCGAGAGAGATCAGGGGATGAATCAGCAAATTAAGTTTTTTAATAAATAAAATGTTCGGGCTGTTTTTAAAGTTCAGAGAAAATATAAGGGTTCTTTTAGAAAACAAAGACGATGGAGTAAAGACGTTGAGTGTGTTTTTTAGAAAACACATGCAAAAGATACGCGTCGGTGGAATTCATTTGTAACATTTACGATTCAGATTTGTCAAATATGTTTTGATTAGATTGTTTCGATGAATTGCATTTGCTTGATCTTATATTTTGATGAATTTGTTTCAACATTATGGTTTCTTTTGTTATCTCCTGATGAATCAGGAGGAAAATATTGTCCTTTTTCAAAGACAAAAACACACGAAATCTTAGAAATAACAAACTGGAATTTTATATATCTATGCTGTTACAATCTTCAAACTTCAGATGAAAAATTTGGCATTTTATACATAATACATACTACCCAAAACTTAGACTGTGGTGAAACGAAAATCTCTAAAAGATACCAATCAAAAATGACTATACTAAACCAAGATTTCATCAATCAAAAACAACCCTTATGGCAAAGAAGCTACTACATAACATAAGAAGCAAGTGAATCTTGGAAGTTTTAACAGATTTTTAAGACAACAAATTCATTTAAATGAATATCTGTAAAACTCCAAAATTTCACTTAATTCTATAATAGCTTCTGACCAAAAGGGTCTTCTTGATGAAATCTTGAACATTTTCGGCTTATAGCAGCTTTTACTGATAAAGCCCCCGGAGACAGATGAATTTGATCTGTACTCTTCGTTGATTCCACCTGAAGAAAAAAAAAAGAAGGGAAGTGAAGTTAAGAGAAGTTAGAGAGAAGTAAGATGAACAACGATCGAGTGACGTTTAGGAGAGAGAGAGAAGGGCTGCAATCTTCTTCTTTTATCACCGTCGATTTTATAAATGTTGTTGGTGGAAAAACGAGTGACGTTTAGGGTTCTACGCATCATGCCTTGCAATTGCAACAAAAATAAAATTATGCATCGAACTGTTCTTATATAACTTTGAGAACTGAGATTATCGTTTTTAAAGGGCTAAGATTGTTCAGGGAGAGTTTTAATTTATGTGGTCTTTTGTAACTGACGACGCTTGGCTTCACTGAAAAAGTCATGCGCAGTTAAGTTTTTCATTTAGAGTTCGAGATAAAAATAAAATACTAACAAGGAATTAAAATTATGATTTCGAAAAATTTATGTTCTCAAGTTTTCAAAGTTAAGCTTTACAATAGAGTACTCCAAAGCCGTAAATTTATGTTCTCAATGTCCTTCATTTACAGGATAGCATTCATTGTAAGAAAGGCTTTTTTCGGTTTGAATACAATTTTCGAAGTGTTGCATGATTCATACGTGTCGGCAGAGATTAAAGATGTTGTCAGCTGCAATTAAGCTGTCCTTGGAGAATTGAGTTTAGCAATAAGTTCAAAGAAACTCGATTTATCTTCACTTGTCCTAATCTGGATTCCACCTTGATTTAATTGGGATACTAACTACTTTAATAATTGTGGAGAAATTGGAGTGTAATTTGATCAAAACGGAGAGAATTATATAGTGTGTCAATGTGTCATCGCCGGTGTTAGAAACATCGAATTTCTTTTCCGGCGATAGAATTTTCAGTCGAGGAACAAAATTAGGGGACAAATTCGCAAATTAATAAAAACAAACGTTAGGGTTATTTTTAAAGTTTTGTGAAACAATGACGGTTTATTTAGAAAAATACAAAGAAAGGATCATCTTCTCTCCACGCGTCGCTCGTTACAGGTTTTTCTCTCTGTGACCAATGTGAAAATGGATTCTCCGGTGACCAAAGTGATCTGGAATGAGGATGATGAGCTCACTATCTTAAACAGTTAACTTTGATCAAAAACGGTTAATATAGTGAGCTCATCTTCCTCGCTCCAGATCACTTATTCAATTTTAACCTTTGATTTCAATTTAATCAAAGCAAAGTAAAGCATAAAACAGTTCTTGAAGCCATTGGATATTCAATCTTGATTTGGAGCAAAAATTAATCTGAAATTGCTAAACGAAGGCATGGAGAAATCCCTGCAGATCGTAAGTGACAGATTTGTGTCGTGTTTCTCCCAAAAGCTTGTTTAGATACTTGCATACAACATATATTTGTGCTGCAACAAAAAACTGGATGAAAATTAGCCAACTCGTTTCGGAAAAACACAGAGGTTGATATGGCAAGAACCACTTACCTAACTCATTTCTTAACGTGTTGCATCTTTCTTGGGGACCAAACTGCAACGTCAAACTTATTCAAACCAGAGCTTCACAGTAGATCTTCACAAAAAGGTCTTCAAAAACTAACATAAAAGAACAGAAAAAAATATATGTCACTTACAAATAGTATTGGTGTGGACTCTAAACAGAAATATGTTTATTCTTGTCTTCTTGATCTGAATGGGTTACTAGCAGATATAGTTTCTCCAGTCACAAACATATTTTCCGGATTTGAAACTATGTTTGCAAGCAACAATTCAGATCGAGAAGACAAAGAAAAAGTTTTTCCTTGACACCGATGGATATGATCTGTTGATTTTGCTTTCTTTGTAAATGTTGTTCGATAACAAGTGACGTTTAGGGCTCTACGTATATTTATTTTCTGTAATCAAGAGTTTATTGACGTCAGCAGATTTATGGGAAACATAACCACATTACTCATACGCATCGAACGGCTCTTGTCAAACTTTGAGAATTGAGATTTATTTTTAGTGGCTAACATTGTTTGAAAAGAGTACTGATTGGCCCACTTTCTTGTTATTTGCACGAACTAGTCTCTCTTACGCTACTTAAAATGTTTCCATAAATTTATGTTTTCGAGATGTTGGTTTAAATTCACACTAGAGTAGAGTTTTTCATTTATAGGTTCATTTTCTATAGAGTTGCATTTACAAAAAAAAATAAAAAATGTAGTTGTTTCATTAGTTGCTTATTCCTAGCTTTATTATTTTGAAATTTCTAGACACACAAAACATATCTTCAGTTTCAGTTAAAATTTTCCAACACGTTACTCATCATATTTCATTACTATCAAAACGTTAACGTTATCGTCAATGTCAAGGACTCAAGGTAATAAAAATGATGTTGAAAGAAACAAATTTCGTGTTTTGATTTCAAATCATGTTTTTCCTCAGAGAGAACAGAGAAGTTAAGACAGAAGAAAGATCATATAACCAGAAGGTGTTTCGACATTAGATAATAAGATAAAGCAGCTCAATGTTTATAGATATTACAACAATGCAGATGAAAGAAATTAAGAAACTAATCATTTGCTACCAAAAATTATTAGTCTAATAAAGCATTGAGCAGTGCAAGTTTTTACTTGACCTCTGCCTCGAGACACTAATGAAACAACTAAGCAACTGCAATTAGCATAACAATCTAAACTACTTTTCTTTCATCTGCTTCGCCTCTCCCGGAATTAGCAAAAGAGGTGCTCCCATCATTAGACAAAATGCGTCAGTTTTGGTCATATATATGCACATACAACAAAGGCTCTCTGTCTATGCAATGAGCCTCAAACACACCTGCGATGCGAAGAGTCAAGCAATACAGCATCAGTACCTGTGTACCTCTTGCTCACCCGCGATGGTCTCCATGACCGGGGCGATACTCGCAGTCTGGAAGCTACTCCTGTATTTAGCACCAAAGCTTTCTTGCGAATCGTTTTCTCTGTACCACCACTATTACCACCAAGTGGCTGAGACTGTTCTACTATGCAACAATCAGACTGGTCATCTAACTCCTTACTATCCTCATCAGCTTTAACTTTGCTGCTGTCATCAGATAACCGCGTCTTATCCTCTAACTCACCACTTTCCGGCCCTTTTGTATCTGTTTGATCCGCAGGAGTATGGGAATCATCAGCAACTCCTGAGTTAGATTCTCTTTGGTTATCAGATGTTTCAGGAAGGGAATCGACGTCTTTATCTGTCAGTTTCCCAATTCTCTCTTCTTTCTCCTCAAAGGACCCGTTGAGTAACTTCAGATTCGAGTCTGCATCATTATCTCCCTCTTCTACTACATTCATCGACTTCAAGCAGCTGTCAACTGGGTCAGAAGTGGGTTCTACATCAGCAGCTGCACATTTTTGCTCGTGTGTACTGTCTTTAGACTCCTCAGGTTTGGTTTCCTCAACATCTACAGGCAAGCTCCTCTCAGGTGCCAACAGCTTTTCACCTGGAGTAGGTTTTAGTTAATACATGAATGTGCACTATATTAAAAAAGCAGATGTATAAGGGTAACTAAGTTAGTACCGTTGGCAATCTTCTCCTTCGCCAATGGTTTCTCCAGCATGTCTACACCAGGGAACACCACCAAGTTCAGATTCTGAATTGTTTTCTTCTCTAATTCATGAACAGGCCTGAAGCCAAAGCCTGAAGTCCATGTATCCGTTAGTTCTGGCACTGCTGGTATGACTAGTTTGTCTACTTTGAGAGAGCCAAGCGCCTGATAGCAAAGCACATGTAAATATGGATCGTCAGAACTGTGAACATGAAAGGAAGAATTTATAAAAATGACAAGATGCAGAAGGCCTACAGATTCAATGCCGTTCATTAGTCGACGACACATCCCTTGACGCCTGTACACGTAGCGGGTTCCGATAAACGGCATTTCTGCCAGTTGATTGCCGTGGATCCTGAGTAAATGAAAATTTCTTTCTGTTCTCAATATACACTTGCATAGGCACTCAAGGAAAGAAAAGCTCCTTCATATATACACATACAGTACTACGCTCAATTTATTGGGAACCAAGCAACAGAGTTTCCAGTTGATATCAGTTAGACCATCTGGAGGCATATACTGAGGGAATTTTTCTTAAAAGGACAAACTGCTAAAATGTAGTGAATTCTATCCAACTTAAGAGCTCCCTAAGTTTACAAAACAATATACTATTTTGTTTAGAGGGGTAGAATTTATTATTAATCCTTATAATCAAGTTCATGATACCACAGACTCACCTGATAGATGCCACAGCAATGATTTCATCACCCTTCTCCAAAACAGCAGTGAGAAAATTGCTGTAATTAAGCCGATGAAAGTTTGATCTACAAAACAGTAGGAAAAAAACGAAAAGGTATATAAGCTTGTAGCAAATGGACTGTTAACAGACAGTTAGATTTCATACAATATCCCCTTTCTAATGACAGCCAAAACCAAATAACAAATTTCATACGAAATCCTAAAAAGGCATACCAATGAAATAATTGAACCAAACAGAAGCATGTAAGGACAGGTTTTGGGAATGAGCTTACCCAAAATTATAGACGATGTTTTCAAGCAGGTTGACACCACTCCTGTGATCAACTAAAGGTGAGAAGCACTCATCCATAACAGAAAATGCAACAGGCAGTTTGGCATTATGTGCAATCTTCTCAGATATGTCACAGTCGGAAACCTCACGAGGGATATCAAAGCGGCGAAGGAACGTCCAGGAGAAGCCCTCAGGGAGTGGATGTTTTACTCCAATGAGTAACTGAAGCCCTTCGAATAGCTAGAAACATAAAAAAAAAAAAAAAAAGGAGAAGAAACAATTGAGATACTCAGCATCCAATGTAGTAATATAATTGTAAATACCACATTCATATAACTGGAAAATCGAAAGCTATTTGTTCAGTATTCATCACTTTAATGTTACTCAGAGCCCAAAATCTACATATACAGCTGCTAGTGTCCTTTTCGACTTAATTAAGCCACAAGAGAAAAAGAAAAAAAGGTATGATGAAATCCAACTAGTTTCAAGAATCAAGTTAAGGTATCTTATCTTCACTACTGCTTTTTCTAGGAATTAACTGTCTATGAACAAATTCTAATGCTGGAATAACTTACCCTCCTAGCCACGTATTTTTCTCCAGTTCCCAAGAATCATCCACAGTCTATGCTAAACAGAAACCTTGGTTGAAAAATGGAGATCACATATTAAGAACATCCAAGTATTCCTCCTAAACAGACTTTTCCTTGAGAAATAATATTGCCCTCTTTCATTAAATTCGTCAACTTTATGAAGCACGTATAAATGACATCTAGATAAAATTTACAAACGTTCCCACAACGTTTGTAATGAAGAAATTTTATTTGCAAACTGAGCCCAACGTTTCAAGTAATAAAGACCCGTGATAAAAAATAAAGAAAAAGGATGGCTACCTCTTGACAATATGTTCCACAAAATGAATGAGTAGACTGTTCACCAGGCACCATGGCTTCTTCCTTGATGCATGTTTGGTGATCTGCAGAGTTATGGAGGGTAATACTTTGAGCTCAAAACCGATTTTAAGAAGTTCAATAGAAACATACATAAATAGAATCAATGGACAAAATGCCCTTTTAAGGTGTAATGCATACATTTCTCTTCACATAGGTGACATCTCAACAAAGGGGTTGGAGTTGTAGTGTCATGATTAGCTGCCTCAACCTTCTCGCAAAATTTGCATGAGCAGTAGCAACAAAACCAGGCACCAGAAGGGAATTTCTGCAATTTATAGAAGAAACAGAAACAATAAGCCTTTTGATAAAGTAAAGACTGCAACAACATAGCTAATTCAGAATTTTTCTATCGTGAATCATCCTATATTCTTTACCAAATCTTTCCCCAATTTTCAGTCTAAGGATTCCAATTATAAAACTATATTTGACCAAGAAACCGAGTCATTGCTTAAGAAACCTCACTTTAACATATTTAATTGCATCTTGAGGTGCAACTTACTTTAATGCCCAAGCAGCTTTGATGGAAGGTTGACGGGCAACCATCACAGCAGGTAAGATCTCCTCCATCCCCACATATAGCACATGTATCATCATTTTGATCCCCGCTACCAAAATCCACAGTATGGAACCCTTTAAGCACAGGTTCGCTTTGTTTATTCCAAGACTCAAGAAAGCACTGCAAGAGAGAGTTCCCACCCTCTAAAGACAGACTTCTGAACGGCTGCTTGTGCTTCCCTCCAGAATGAACCTCGAAATCAAGAACAGAGAATACTTCGTCACAGCAGTTGCATCGAATACCCTCTTTAGTTACTATTCCTTCAAAGCGCACTTCTGTGTTTTCGCAGTTCGTGGACTGAACTTTCCCGTTAAGTGGCACAATGCCTGAATCAATCATCCAACCCAGCATGGTGCGTTTCCCTTCAAATAAAATGTATCCATTCTCCATGGAGTTTGCATTCTCCAAAGAACTCCGAGCTGACAGAGCACCGCGCTTTCTACTATGTTTTTCTTCCCTCTTTATTTTCCGGACTGACACCGAGATTCTCTCTACGTTTTGTGAGCCATGGCTTCCTTTTCGTTTCTTCTGAGCTTTTTTTCCTATTCCCTTTGTTGAGACCATATTTCCACTAGTGTTAATGTCCTTCCAGTTTAGCCTTGGCTTACCTGTATCGCTCCTTTTCTTCTGAATTCTTCTCCCTAAAAGGTGAAGGTCCTCTTCTGGTAGCAAGCCAAAACCAGAGCCAGTGGTAGAGTCCATTTGATCCTTCATGCTGCTTTCCAGATTTGTTTTATAACCTTGATAAGCCTTGGTCACTGACCAGTGAGTCTTTCCCTCAGGATTCACATAAACAGCATCCTTGTATGCTCTCCCGTTTCGTGGCCTGTGTTCAACTGTCCAACCAGCAGCTAGAAGTAACTGAAGTATCTTATCACTCAGCTTTTTCTTAGATTCTGATTTAGACCGACTCCCATCTACACTTTGCTGTTCTCCAATCATCATTTCGCCATCACTTAATGGCTTGTTGTGCCGTGACTCTAAGGGACTCTCACAAAGCTTCACTCTCTTCGTTGCTCTGCAATCTGATTCATCTGTCTCTCCAGATTTCCTCTTCTTCTTTGGAGTTGGAGGTCTTCCACGCTTACGTACCATCTTCGTTCCCCAGCAATAACCTTCATCTGACTCAAGTCCCTTAGCCCTGCCTGCATTGTTACGTCTTGGCCTCCTGGATTCATCGATAGAGTCACTTACACTCTGGTCCGGCGTTATTACGGTGCTACCATCCCCACAGTCAACATTCTCCTTTTCTATGTAAAGACCAATAGACGTCCCCTTGGTCTTTGGGGGTCTACCACGCTTAGGTTTCGAACTAAGTCTGTCAACACTCGACTGGCTGCTTAAATCTGGAGTTCCCTCAAGTTTAAGGTTTGTTTTAGAGCCACTCTCGTCAGCTTGACTGCTGACCTGGAACTTCTTAGGCCTTCCGCGTTTGCGTTTAACTTTTAGCTCTTCACCATGTGGCTCAACCTTACCATTTGATCTATCATCCTTAATTTCAAACTCAACCTGCCTCCTAAAAACAGCTTCAAGAGTCTTCTTCTCTTCAGCAGATTGCCCACACTCAAGCTTTACTTCTGTTCTCTCCTCTATATTATCAAGCTTTACTTCTAATTTCTCCTCTTTATCAAGCTTTACTTCTGTTTTCTCCTCTTTATCTTCCTGACCCCTAAAATCAGCTTCAAGAGTCTTCTTCTCTTCAGCAGATTGCCCACACTCAAGCTTTACTTCTGTTCTCTCCTCTTGATCAAGCTTTACTTCTGTTCTCTCCTCTTCATTATCAAGCTTTGCTTCTGTTTTCTCCTCTTCAACGCAGCTTATGCCAATATGTGTCTCCACATCATCACCAGATTGGCTGCTGGTCTGCAACTTCCGAGGCCTTCCTCTTTTGGATTCAACTTTCAAATGTGGCTCAACACTCACATTCCCATCATCTGATCTGTCATCCTCATGTTCCACTTCAATTTGACTTCTCAAATCATCATCTTCATGAGCCTCCTTAGTTACAGGACATTCCAAATCCTTTTCCTCTCTCACCTCATCAATAGAACCAACGCCGCCATTAAAAGTGTCACCTTTACTTAGATCTCCGTTACAAACACCTTTTCTTTTCTCTTCCACAGCCTCATGATGTTTCTCACTGTTTGCAGTATCCTTCACCACAGAGCCTGAGCGAAGAACACTCCGAGTAATGTTAACTTCTCGATCAATCGGCTTAACCTTCACCGTTTTCTTGTTCTTCATCTCGATTACATTCTCCAAATCAACAAAGGTAAAAGCTTTTTGCTTGACATTATCTTCTTCGGTTTCGGAAATTCCTTTGCGTTTGGGCATAATGTATATCTCAGATTTTGGCCATGTCAAGGAATTTAACAGAGAGCCCCCTACGACCAAAAATCCAGCCACCATCACAATGAAATCAAGATCAATACAAAAAAGAATAAAAAAAACTGATGAAATCAAAAATCCAGCGATTTCATTTTCGTAACATCAAACAAAACAGATCAGAAGACGGTGCGAAGAAGAAATTCGAATACCCTAACAAGAAGAAGAAGACGAAACGGAATCGTACCGGAAAATTTTGATGATTACGGAAGAGTCCGGCCGAATCAGACGGAAAAAACGAGTGAAATCAGGAGGGAGAAAGCGAGAGAGATGCCGGAAAATCAACGAATCAGCGATTGAGATTAACCGGAGATTAGCATTGTGGAATTCGTAGAGAGGAAGACGAAGAGACGCCGAAGACACTGTAACGAGGATCAAGGGTTTAGCTTTGATGTGAAAGTGATTGAGAAGAAGAAGAAGACGAAAAAGGGTTTTAATATTTTTTTTGGGGGGATTTAAATAATCTTAAGCACATGCGCGAATCGAGAAAATTAAATTAACAAATTCGAGTAATGAAGGTAATTGTGTATAGGGGTAAAGTTGTCATTAATAATAGTTATTGTAGTGTGACTGTGTGACAGTGTCCCATTTCCCTCCATATTAGTATAACTAACTAAAAATTAAGAAACCAGACAAATGTGTTTCACTGTTTTGCCTTGCTTAGGGTAAGATTTGGACATCCGTTTTTGTTGGTTTGGTGTCTACTTTTGAGTTTCTGAAAAACGGTTTCTAGTTGATGTTTATGCTAGATAAAGCACTTCTTTCAAATACTGGGAGCAGAAGCTAGTGACGTTTATGAATGTACCATTAAACAAATAAAAACGTTAGATTAAGTAACGCTTGGTGTTACAATACCAATCTATAGATCACATCGAAAGCCACATGCACGAATCTCCTACACTCAAAGATGAAAGATAGAGCGTAATCTTATAACAACAATTAATTATGGTTTCTTACAAATTTCAGGTTTATAGGAATACAAACAAAACTGAAAGAAAAAAAGATTTTTTTTTATAGGGATCAATGAATGTATCCTAATGCTGTCTTATTAAAGATCTTTATTATTAATTCTCAAAAAGAACATAAGTAAAAACTTGATAGAGTTTTATTTAGCCGAATTTGCTTGGTGATCCGGTGACTTGATAGATTTTTTCCACCTCCCTCACTTAACGTTGTTTAGGACAAACGTTTGCATGAAAGAAGCAGCTGCATAGTTTTAGTGGGATGTGTGGCGGTTCCCTTGATGTTGTCTCATAGCAAACACCCCTTCCATTCTTCTGCTTTTTACATTCACTGGCACACGTGACAGGAATACAAGAACCTCCATGTGCAGTATAACCACAACTGCGGCGGCCCGGGGGGCCTACACATTCCGGTACATCAACACGTATAGCCTCGTTACATAATACTTTTCCTTGTGTTTTCCTCACCATTATTCCTGTTACAATGTGTAATCAATTTACATATCAATTCAATTTATAAATTATTTTTTATTCGTAAAGATGAATTTTTAAAAGATATTTATGCATATTAATAGAAAATACAGCAATTTCGGAACATTTTTTCTTTCATTCATTATATTTTAAAAATATATATTTACTAAATCGGACTATAACAACTTGACTTTTGGACAGTCTTGGGTAAATATATAACAACATTGATAGTGTTTAAATAAAATCCTAATTTAATTAAAAGAACCATGAAATTAATTTATAAATGTGGAATAAGAACTATTATCTAGTCGAATAATTAGAGAGAAAAAAAGTATTTCAGAAGTGAATATATATTTCAAATAGTATATGAAGACAAACCTATAAGGAGGATGGTGAAAATAGTAATCGAGAGTTGAAAGGGTTTCTTCATCCTTGATGCTAATAACGAATTGATGATGTTTAACTAGAAAAACGTAAACATGCATATCTATATATATAAAAAGTTACATTACTAAAAAAAGTAAAAAATCTAATTGAAGTAATTTCTGTCCTTAAATTTACATGACTCACCCCGTTTGTCTCATCTTATTTGTAAAAGATTTGAAACCACCTATTTTGTCTAGTTAATTTATTTGTAAAAATCTAATCCAAGTAAATTTTTGTCTAGTATTCAAAGAAACTTCAACCTCGCAGACCATGAGATGTATAGAGATTTTTATTAAGGGTTCTATCTTTGTATCTACCTAGAGTTTTCGTTGTGCTTATCAGTACTTTCGCTCTATGAGTTGGTATCAAAGACAGTCATTTGTTTTCGTAATAAAAAACCGATTATAGCTATCATGGCATGTTGATTAGCATGCAGTCGCTACACTTTCGAGCAAAGCGTTGTACAATCTCAATGGGTAGCTTCCATGGAGACTTGAGTCGGACTAGATACTCAGCTGTTTCTTTCTCTTTGTGAGGAACAGATCGGTGAAATCTTTGTAGTGGATTGTCGGAAACACCAGAGTTTTGAAATTCTTTCGAGTTTGGCTATGGAGTTAGGCAACAATTTTCGCAAGAATCTCTCTGTTATGATACCTAGAGGAATATCATCCAAAGTCTTCATCATCGTATTCATCTGTTTTCTATAACGAAAATTGGATAGTCCAAAACTTACTTAATTAGATTCGTTACACTTCAGTCAAAGGCATTGGCGTTAGATTCCTTGGTTTGGCCATTGAACTCATACATCAAAAAAACATATAATAAAGGACAAAGAAAAAAAAGAAACAAAAACGAGAAGAAAACTTTACTCAAGACAATGTCTCTCTAACACCGATTATAGAAAGCACATTTACGTTGCAGAATAGATGGCATACTTGGCAAAATGACAGACTATAGAGGAGGATAGAAATAGGAAGAGACTGAAAAGCAGAGGAAGAGTAAGCCTCCCACAGTTGCGACCGTGCGCTGTGAGATCCTTGAAGCCAACATGCTTCCTCCTACAACCGCCAACGATGTACAAATTGTGTGTCCTATCGTCGCCCCGATGGCCACTCCTATCGCGTTCTTGTGCGTCGCCAACTTCACAAGACACAAAAGTTTGGATTGTTTCAACCACACAATATAAAATCTCAGGGACCAAGCTCGGAGATTGGTCAAGTATATTGTAACATGTTTGTTATGAGAGATGATGATGATTGGAACTTTTCTCTTACAGCTATTGTAGCGATCTGGCTACGGTCGCCCCATTCCGCTAGAAAAGTTAAGATGAAGGACTGCACATAGATACAAGACAAGTGTCAAATGTCATCTTCGAGAAGAAGAAAATATTTATAATATCAATATATCTTACACACTCAAAAGCATGAATATGCGGCAATAGAAGAAAACCTCTAGAAAGATTGGAGTACAAAATCTTGAGAATAAGCGGCGGAAAGGTGTTTTCCCTTGGGCTGACTCGAGCTTCTCTTCAACCTTTTAACACAGATAATGACAAGTCAGTCAACGTCCTAGTCCAAATTAAGCGAACAGCTATAAATAACTCAAGGAACAGAGAATGAGAAGATATTGAAAGCTTTGAATGTGATATAACTAATAAGAACGTTAAGCAAAATCTCTTTTAAGAAGAAGCAAAAAAAAAAAAAAAAAAAAACTGACAACACAGGTGGTTTGAGAATTACATACTTCCTCCATTTCTTTCTTCTGATTTGACTTTGAATCAGTAGACCTCCATGCAATGTAGAGTAACCGCAAACCGAAAAATGCATAGAGAACTGCATGTTCAACAGATGAAAGATCCTTCAAGTAAGCCTCGAATTATTAAAAAATGAAGGAGCTACATAAACTTGCAATCAAGTGCAGCATCGACAAGAAAGATACAGATAAATATACACACACAATAACAACAAACTCATAAGAAAGAAATAGTAATAAGAAAGCTAAACTACTCCACCAGAGTTTATAAGCAAAGATAATTCAGAACACAGTAAACTACATACCTGTAGCAGCTCTATTAGTGTGCTTCCTCGATATCAAGTTTGGCACTATCCTACCAAGTCCAGTGGAAAGTATCTAAAATTGAATTCATGAGAATCATAACAATTAGACATACCCTTTGTGGTTCTAAGATTTCTCAAGAAGTATTTGGATAAACACACAAACAAAGAATAACCAAGTAATCTTGAGCACTTACAGTCATAACAAACAAAGCTGAAAGTGCACCAGATAAAACAGTAGCTTTCGGGTGTCGCATAGCCATCAATGCCGCTATTATAAAAGTTTCATCTCCAATCTGAAAACATATTATTAGAAACAAAGATTACAACATTTAACTTAAAAGACCAACTGAAACTTGTGAAACTAAGCTTTAAACCATATTCAATACATCCGAAAACAAGCAAGCACGAACCTCGGTTACGAGTATCATGGAGAAACTTGAAATCAATGCATCAAATACACCAGGACCAGTGGATTCGAGGTCGAGGTTTATACCAAGAGCACCGAGATTTTCTCCAGCAGTATCAAGTCCAATTTTTTCAGTACCAATCTGCACAAAAACAAACAAAAAAATTCAGATTCGAATCTAAATCCAGATTCCAATTCGAAAAAGCAAAAAAAGCAGATCGAATAAGGTGACATTAAAATTACCATTCCACGACGCCCAAGCTCTTTACCAGATCCTTCCGATTCCTGCTTCTCATTGTCAACTCCCAAATCCTATAAAGAGAGCAAAACCAATCGAATCAAAAAAAGCATTCGAAGAAAAAAGACGCATCCATGGAGGAAAACTGAAAATTGTATATTACCTGTGCAGAGATGGCGGAAACGAAGACGAAGAAGAAGATGGTGGCGATTAGAAGAAGGCGGGTAGGGTTTGAAAGCAAACCCATGAGTGATGCGAGAGTAGTAGAGATCTACTTTGATAGAGGAAGGAGATCAATTTCAATTTTCTCCGAAGAAAATGAAAAGTTTGGGATCTGAGGAAAGATTGAAACGTTCTTACGATTCAGAAACGCATTGGAAGAATCGATGAGCGTGTGAATGATCCTTGTGATGCTGCTGAGAAACAGAGATCTGTGTAAGCTGTAATTGTAAAATGGAATTAAATCATTACTTCACACGGTTTTACAAAGAAAGAGAATTAAATAAGCATATTAAAAGTGTTTATTTTTATTGGAAAATTAACCATAAGGTCAGTCCCACACTCCCCAATTGGTAGATGAATATTCTGATTAATTAGGATCCGAATAAACAACATTCACACGTTACTGGATAGATGGAGATTGGGCCACATGGCTTTCTCGGCCCAGCAACACTTGTGATTATAATGGGCAAGACCCATTTAATTATATACGACATCGTTTTAGGAACTCAGGTAGGTGATTTCAGTTTCTTCTCCGTAAAGAAGAGAGAGAGGAAGGAAGAAGGTTCTAGGTTTTTTGGTTTTATTATGCAGCAATGGCGTCGAGAAATGCTCTGCTTAAGTACCTGAGAGTCAATGTCACACCTTCTCTCCGAAGCTCCGGGCTCACTACTGCTCATCAATGCGCAGCTCCATTGTACGTACTTCTCCGTCGTTTCTCCGAGGAAGTCAGAGGATCATTCCTCGACAAATCGGAAGTCACAGATCGCGTTCTCTCCGTCGTCAAGAATTTCCAGAAAGTCGAACCTTCTAAGGTAATTTTCCCTTTTATTTCTTCCCGATTTCAACCCTTTAGTTCCATCTTCGATTGAAATGTCTCGAAAACTAGCAAATGAAGAAATCGATGGTATTTGCTTCATTCCATTGTGATCGATAGGCATTGATTTGATGATGTGATTGACAAGTGTAGAAAAATTTGTCACTTGATTAGATAGATTTATGTAACCATCTCTACTCTATTTCCGGACGAAATAACCAAAAGATCATCTTTTCAAATTTCAGTTTCTATAATTTCTTGTGTACAAAGTGAAGCAGATAGTATTAGAGAACAAACTACATTTTGCTTATGTAAAAAATGGTTGTGTGCTTCTAGAATCAATAGCTTCCTTTTCTCTTCTTGATTTAGTCCTAAGTTGTGTCATGCTCGTTCAGTGACTATAGCTAATGATAATGAATTGTTACACGTATATGATGCCTCTGCTTGAACAACGATCCGAGAGGAAGCAAATATAATTTTTCTTGATACAATAAGTTAGTGCGATTCATGTTGTTGCAGGTGACACCAAAGGCACATTTCCAGAACGATCTTGGCTTGGATAGTTTGGACACTGTGGAGGTGGTTATGGCGCTTGAAGAGGAGTTCGGATTGGAGATTCCCGATAACGAAGCTGATAAGATACAGTCCATCGATCTCGCCGTTGAGTTTATTGCCTCGCACCCGCAGGCTAAATGAGCTAGAAGAAATTCGTCATAATATGGTTATGCTGAATAAAGAAAATCAAACATGTTTCTTTGCTAGAACGAGACGGTTTCATTTTTTCTTATGTTTGTTAATGCATCTTTAAACTTGATTCTCTTGCTTTAAGCATCATTATGTTGCCATTGAAAAGATTGTAATTAAGTTGAACCATACCATGTGGATGGAAGCATATTATAACGAATGAAACAACATTTTATTACAACACAAAGGATCAAATGAATGCATCATCAAACCTCGAGCTTGGGAGCCCAACTTGCAATCACATACTCTTTAGCAGCTTTAGTTTTCTCAAAAGACTCGAGAGAGAACAAAACCTTCATGTAGTCACGAACATTGGTCAGACGCTCAGGGACAGACCAGTTCTTGAAATGTCCTAACGCGGTCTCAAGATGGTAAAGCTTCGGCGCTAGGCTCAAATCAACAGCCGAGACATTTTCACCAGCCACGAACGAACCACCGTGAGTCTTGAGGTGATTGTCTAACGCCTCGAGCTCATCTAACAAGGCCTTCTCGGAGTCTCCATCATTCTCATCATCTTTGCTCTTCAGAAACATCACAAAAGCACCAATGATCTTGGATCCTACAGAGGCAAACTCTGGAGGGAATGTCACGAGAGACGGCTCTGGATACTTCTCCTCGATGATTTCGACTATAAGGTCGGAATCAGCCACCCAGTTCTCGTCGTCATCGAGCTTCACTACCGGAAGTTTTCCCTCGGGGTTAACAGACAAGAACCAGTCGGGTTTGAGTGAGACGTTGATGAGATGAGTGGTGTAAGGAAGCTTCTTCTCTTCTAAAGTGAGAAGTACTCTTTGACTGAAAGGACAGTCACCGAGAACATCAGGTGCACCAGAAGCAGCCTTCACGCAGACCTCGATTCCCATTTTGTGTTTTGTTTTTGTGTTTAACAGAAATTGACACAACTCTTTATAGTGGAACATCGTGAGTCATGACGTGCGTACAACAACATTTTATGTAGCATGAATCATGAGGTTTATAGCACAAGATCCAGTCAAATGTTTTACGTGCCTCCCAACATTGTTCAGTTTTATTTCTTTACTCTCAAAAGGTCATAATATTGTATTTATCCCTGATCTGACATAGTATACATAAAAGAGAAAAGCTGGTTACTTATAAACCCTTACTAATGTCTTTGAAAAAGCTGTGATACACATTCTTTGTTAAATGTTTTTGTGGTATTTTGGGAGAATTTTCCTTAATAACACTTTCATCATGGTTTCAAAATGCAGTTTGACAAAGTCACAAAGATAAAGAAATCTAAATGCTCAGCTTAATAATGGCTGAATCATATCACACTATAGAATCCTTTTTACCATTCAAAAAAACAACGAGATGAATATATTTATCTGCCATTATATGTAAAATCAAATAATCAATATGTTAAGCCAGCTAGTTCGAGAGTTAGACTAACACGCATTATGATCTATGAATGCAGTGTTCCACTGACATTAGCTTCACTAGACACCAATAACAGTAATGAAAAGAAAAAGAAAAAAATCATAAACTAAAATAATTGAGAAAGGAATCATCTTCTCCTTGGCGCAGCTGAACCTGAACCGCGCTGAATCGCTGCTGGTGCTTGTCCTTGAGACCCCGCCGCGGGCTGTTCGTCCGCGCCGTTGGAGGCTTGTGTCGCAGCATTCATCAATATGAGTCCCAGTGGTATCAAATACATCCACTGTCATAACCAAAAATGTCACATGTTCCAAGTCACATCCACTGTTTTCAAAACTAAACAAAAATGTGTGTTTTCAAGACTATATAATAATAATACTCACATATTTTGCCCAAAGTGTTTTCTCTACTGGCGGTACTACTTCACCCTCTGCATTCTCACTGCTGCCAAGAATCTCTTCCGCGAATATCGGAGTCCTGCGTCATACACAAGGTAGCATTGATAAAGATTACAACTCAAGAGCTTGTGTATGTTAATACCAGTTGAAGAATTCTGAAATAATCCAGGTGTAGATTCATACCTTGGTGCTTGCTCACTACTCTTCAAGATAGTGTGGGAGTTGAATGACCATTTTCCTGGCTACATGAAAACGCAAAAACATTTATCGGACCGTGCTAATTTATATAGTGTTACATGTAACAGAGAACATAGGTGAGACATATTACATATAAAGAAACAATTGAAGATAGGTCGCTTTTTCACAAAGAATGTAGTTCCAATTCTTAGAATTTTCATCCAAGAATGCCAAATATTTCAGCATAACTATTGCAAAAAAAAACATGAAATGGCATGGCTTCATTACGTAATCTACACCAATATTTGACTCTACCAGCAGATTCAGAAGCCAAGAGGAACGTAGGTAACTCCAAAAATCCTAATAAGTTCGGTTAGCTTTCAGCAAAGAAAGAAGGACTGGATAGCGGGTTTTCACTTACAAGATTCAGCTGTCGAGGATACGGACATGATCCAGGAGAGCCATAACTAACTGCCAAAATGTTGGCACCATCCTGAAATTGAATAGTGCAATGTAACAAGTAAAGAGCGTGGAACTAAAAGAGGATTTCACACGAAGCTGTAACCTAAACTGAAAAAACTGATACTAAAAGAATATATATTACCATGTGGATAGCAATATGCTCATCCAAACCATCCCGTGGAAGACATCTCTGTAATCAAACATATAGTGTATTAAAACCAGTTACTTTGAGGCAGAGTGAAAACAAAATAACAAACATGGCTAAAAGCAAGAAACTGCATTATAGTCGCGAACAAGAAAACAAGATTTGGGAAGCATGTTAACAAAGGGAAAGTCAAAAGATAAAATAATGGTCGAAGAAGAAGTAGACTTACAGCTCTCACCGATGCAGTCACATACTCCCTCCCAGGTGGACTAACTACATTCGATGGAAGTCTTATTCTATACAAGTCATCTTCTTTCAGCAGATTCTACAAAAACAGGTTTTACAATATAAAGGCATTACACTTGTGCTACTTTCAGATACTATAACATTAGAAGAAACTAAAATTCAGTAGGAGATTGCTTACTTTAAAGGCATCTTTCTCTTCATCAGAAAACTCATTCCTCAAAAACCGCAGCTTCGTTAATGTCTGCATATTCCAACAAGATTTAAGGTTTAGCTGAATAGTGAATTAATCTGTGCAACAAGATTGAATTAAGCATTAACACTTCCATAAAAATCTAAATACTCTGTAGATTCCACTTAAAATCTAATAAAAAAGCATAAACATGTTTTCAATCACATTCGAGAGCGAATCACACAATCTCGATCGAGATCAAATTGAAAATCAGAAAATTTTGCAGAAGAATAGAAGCGGACCTGACCGCCATGGCTCCAAGTTTTAAGGCGAGCGGAGAAAATACCGGCGGAGGAGAAACCAGAGTCTCCGAAGGCATGCTCGAGAGTGAATTGGACCTTAGAGTCCAAATCAGGATCCGAGTACCGTTTACGTGTAGTCGGAGTCTGTTTAGGGGGCGAGAACGACGCCGTTGAATCGGCGAATTCTGTTTCCGGAGAGCGAGGATTGGCTCCTTCGAGACCAAACTCTTCGTCGTCGATGAGGAGCTCGTCTGACTGGAAAGCCAAGGAGGAGGAGAAGAGTAAAAAGGAGAGGAAGATGACAAGTGTGAGCTTCGCCATGGTTAAACCGGCGACGGAGATTCTCTTCCGTTGATGAAGCAGAAAACAATAAGGAAGAGAAGAGAGGTTTGGATCCAACAAAACAGAGATTGTCTGTTTGGTCGAATTTTTGCAAGGTTTTTGATAAATTTCAACTAAGTCCTCCTTATCCAATATATATTACGCGGACGGACTCTTTATTTAACAATTGCAGTTGATCTCCTTCATAGAAAAGGAATAGGTATTGTTGCAATTTCCCATTTATTTAAGTACAGTAGAACCTCTATAAAGTAATACTCGATAAAATAATACCTCGATATATGAATAGAATTTTCAAGTCCCGAATTCAGTTTTTGGTGCAATTATCCTTCGATAAAATAATAATCTCGCTAAAGTAATAAAATATTATGATCCCAACGTTATTACTTTATAGAGGTTTTACTGTAAAAAAGATTTCAAATATTACTGTGACAAAGTGAGGAAATCGTGAAGATGTGGAAGTGGTAAATGAACAAACTGAGCATAATTAAGATTTAAAAGTAAATTAAATAATTACGTTATTATCTATCTCTAATTAAAATTAGTTTCTGATTATAATTCACCGTTGAAAACGCGTCGCTTTCTCTATCGTTTCCCTCTCTTCTCGTTCCCATGTCTCCCTCTCTTCCTCTCTTGCTTCCTTTGGTTTATGTTTGAATATCAATCTCGATCATCACAAACAAAAACAAATCATGAGATAAAAAAAAAACAAAAAAAAAAATCAAAAATTTAGTTATACAATTCAAAGAAGACTTCCACCTTTTCGAACCCTTTTTTTCCAGCATTTTCGCGGCGGAATCGAAGCGGAGATAATCTCTGTTTATTTACAGTAACGACGGTGGTGGTGGCGATGGATCTGAGTCGAATTTTACGCATAGTAGCCGTTGTTTCCATGGTGATGATCCAATCTGCTTCCGGGAATTTCGTCTTCAACGTCAAGCATAAATTCGCCGGAAGAGGTAAACAGTTGTCTGAGCTCAAATCTCACGACACCTACCGTCACGCTCGTATGCTCGCCAACGTCGATCTCCCTCTCGGCGGCGACAGCCGCGCTGACTCAATCGGGTTCTCTTCTACATCCCAATCCCTAAAATTCCTTTTAATTGTTGCTTAATTCTGGTCTTCAAACTCAGAAATTTCGGTTAAACAGTTGACATTTTTATAGATCATATTCATACCCAGATGCTGAAATTTGAAGAATGCAATGAAAGTGTTTTAAAGATTTGATTTTTGTTCTGACCCAGATGCTGAAATTTGGAGAATGCAATGAAAGTGTTATAAAAATTCAATCTTTGTTCTTAATTTGATTATACATTTGGTTTTTCAGATTATACTTTACAAAAATCCAGCTTGGGTCACCACCAAAGGACTATTACGTTCAAGTTGATACAGGAAGTGATATACTTTGGGTGAATTGTGCACCATGCCCCAAATGTCCTGTCAAAACTGATCTCGGTGTATGCTGCTTTCTCTTTCTAAAAACTTCTCTTACTTCTGCAGCTACAATATTTCAGAAAGTTCTCAGCTTTATGTATGTTTGTTTTGTGTGGTGCAATGTGTGTTTGTAGATACCTCTATCATTGTATGATTTAAAAGCTTCTACGTCATCAAAGCATGTTGGCTGTGAAGATGATTTCTGCTCCTTCATTATGCAATCGGATACTTGCGAACCGAAGAAGAAGCCTTGTAGTTACCATGTGGTGTATGGAGATGGAAGTACTAGTGATGGTGACTTCGTGAGGGATAACATTACATTGGATCAAGTCACCGGGGATCTTCGAACCGCACCCTTAGCGCAGGAAGTTGTATTCGGGTGAGCATATATGACATCTTAGAGCTTGTGAGTCCTGGCTTGTGACCATAGGTTATAAAGCTTGATTATGTTTGTGAGATCAGGTGTGGAAGCAATCAATCTGGACAACTTGGGCAAACTGACTCAGCAGTTGATGGCATTATGGGATTTGGACAAGCAAATACCTCAATCATATCACAGCTAGCTTCCACAGGGAATGTGAAGAGAGTCTTTTCGCATTGCTTAGACAACGTAAACGGAGGTGGGATCTTCGCTGTTGGTGAAGTCGAATCTCCGATTGTCAAAACAACTCCTTTGGTTCCTAAACAGTAAGTGATAGAATTGTGTCTCCTGTGACTTGAAAATGTAGAAATCTCTCGTTTCTTAGTAGTAACTTTGTACAACAATGTTTAGGGTACATTACAACGTCATATTAAAGGGAATAGATGTGGATGGTGACGCTGTTGATCTTCCACCAAGCTTAGCTAGTTTTGGTGGTAATGGAGGAACAATAATTGACAGTGGTACAACTTTAGCTTACTTACCAGAGAATCTGTACAAAGCAGTACTTGACAAGGTGCCAAAACTCTCTTTGTCACTCTTGATACTTTCTAGTTTATACAATCACAAACCTGACATTGGTGATTTTCTGTATATGTATAGATTACTGCTAAGACACCGGTGAAACTGCATATGGTACAGGAGACTTTCGCATGTTTCAGTTTCACTTCAAAGTAAGATATGACTTGCTTTGCTATCTCCTCAAACCATTCTTTGTGCTAACATATTCTTCCTTGTACCCTGCAGCACAGATAAATCGTTTCCGGTAGTCAATTTTCATTTCGAGGACTCACTTAAACTGACTGTTTATCCACATGACTATCTTTTCTCTCTTCGTGTAAGTCAATGTTTCTTACTTTCATTGTGGTCATATTCAAGTTTGATCAGTAAATTGAGCTCTCTCTCTCTCTCTCTCTCTCTCTCTCTCCCTCTTGTATCTTTTTGCGTTCTTGAACAGGAAGACATGTATTGCTTTGGTTGGCAATCTGGAGGAATGACGACTCAGGACGGATCTGATGTAATCCTTTTGGGAGGTGAAATTTCAAAACCATACTATTTGGATATTGCTTTGTTATAGACTTTGTTACACTTAGTTCAAATTTGGATTTCTTGATATGTAGATTTGGTGCTCTCAAACAAGTTAGTAGTATACGATCTTGAGAATGAGGTCATTGGATGGGCAGACCACAACTGTAAGTAAGCTAGAACCCGAACAAGAACTAATTTAGATAACGAATAGATAAAAAGAAGAGGATCAAAATCAAAACACACCAAAATGTTTATGTTTTGCTTAGGTTCGTCAAGTATAAAAGTTAAAGATGGAGCAGGAGCATCTTACACAATCGGAGCAGATAATCTCATTTCAGCTTCTTCTTCGGTGATCAGAGGAACATTTGTAGCGTTATTGTCTATATTAATTTCGGTTTTCTTTTCTTTTACTTCATAGTTTTTGCTTAAAGGAAAAAAGGGAGAGATAACGTTGGTTTTTTGAGGTTATTTGATTTATTTTGATTGATCCTTTTGTGGATGTGATTTGGCATTTTTCGAGTCATGTAATTTATATAGGACAACTAACTATATCTCATTCTTTGTTGTATTTAACTCTCAAAGATAAAATATCTGTAATTTTTTTGTCAACTCTTCGGCTCTAATAAAAAACTTTACTAGTTTTACACTTTTATGTAAGAATAAGAATTTGGCTTTGCTTTTGTATTTCATATAACATCATGTTATAGATTTTAGAAAAGTTATACTTCTAGACGAAAGAAAAATAAAAGAGAAAGTTATACTTCCCAAGATGAGTATAGAACCAAGAACAATGGCAAAGCAAGCTTCATAGAAATTAAGATTTATTTATGATTTGACCTAGAATTAAGGTCCGATTATTACAACGCGTATTAACAACATACACGACATATAAGCTTTAGTATTTTATTAAAATATAATGCAATAGTATTATTAGATTTTGAGGTTGGTTACATGTAACTGATTTATATTTATCGGAGACCCTTATTTTGTGATGAATTTAGAGAACCATTTGCCAGAATCCTTTTGTCTTCGATCAATAGGATTAGTGAAGTTGACCCAATTCATACCAAACCGGAGAGTGTAACCATTTCCGAATTCGTAGTTGTCCATCAAAGACCATGCAAAATATCCTGCTACGTTGGATCCGTTCCTATAATATTTATAAGATAATGTTGATGTAATTTATTAACATTAGTAATTCTCAAAAGAAGAAGGATATAAAGTAATATATGAACCGTATAACTCACTCGATGGCGCATTTGAGGCACGAAAGATGGCTGCAGTGATTTTGAATTCTTCCTTTGTCGGCAAGAGCTTCTTTAATCGGTAAGTTTCCGTTTCCAGGATCAGCAACTCCTGAAACCAAAAGATTTGATAATAAACACATATTTAGATTTTTTATTTGGATAAACATATTTCAATGCAATACAAAAAAATGATATGTACATACCGTTTTCGGTAATATAGGTAAGTGGGTTTCCGTAGTTAACTTTGATGTGATTTAGAATCATACGGAATCCTGGAGGATAATACAAAAAGCTGGGAGCCTATAGAAGAAGAAGAGGACAAGGGTTAAACCAATTTCTAATGAAAAAAAATTATGAGAATATTCCAAATTGAAGTCGATTCTAACCACAACGCCAATAGTAACTCCATTGCGATAATCTGAAACCAATTATAGAAAATTTGAGATTGGCTAATTAAAATCTAATATATTTATATATAAAAGAAGAAGAACAATTAACATACATCCAAGAGTAACGCATGGATCAGTTGCGACACTAGGTACGAAATAGATGCATCGGCCGTATAATGTGTAACATAATAGTTCAACCCTAGAAAATCAAGTGATCCTTTAACTAAAGCTGATTCTCCAGGTTTGAATTTTGGCAATCTATCTCCAACCATCTCTTTCATTATCTTTGGATAGTCTCCGTACACCAATGGATCCAAAAACCTTTATACATTTACAAAACATATGCATAAATAAAATATTGAAAGTACGTTTGTTATGACCAAAATTTTCTACATATATAGGTGATGTGAGAATCAATAAATTGAACATATATACCATCCGACGATGAAATCGAATGCCCGTTTTGCAGCAGCCTTATCTTGTTCGCTAGTTTCGTTTAATGGGACAAACCATCTTCCAATCAAAGTCGTTCCTATCTTACCCCCTTGAGATTTCTGCATAGGTTATTTAGATTAATATACAATTATATTGGCACACAAAAGCAAATTAAAACTGATTCTCATCTTGAAAGATACTATATATGATTGATTATGTATATATATCCATCTAAACACCTTATATCTTTCTCGGTATAAAGCTACAGTTGTTGCATGAGCTAGAAGTTGGTGGTGTGCAACTATGTAAGGCTCGGTTGCAGAATTTCCTCCAAATTCACAGCCAGTGCACCGTCCGGGTGGATACGATCCATCTCCATAACCTTTGGTTGCGAGAGAGTAAGGCTGGTTCAAAGTGATCCAATGTTTAACTCTGTCTCCGAATCTTTGGAATAGAAGCTCCGCGTAGTTTGTGTAATCCTCCCTGTTCATGTATCATATGATGTCATATATATTAAATATGGATATATGTACATAACTAAAAATATTAGTTGATGGGCTTACACTATACGTTTGCTTAGGAAGCCTCCGTATTCGTCTTCTAAAGTTTGGGGAACATCCCAATGAAATATAGTGACATATGGTTTTATGCCTGTGAATCGTACTCACGCAAGTTAATTAAGTATGATCAAACTGCATGATTAATTAGTAGTACAATATTAAGAGAATTCGGAATTTACCATGTTTTAGTAACTCGTTGATGAGATTGTTGTAGTATTGAATACCATTCTCGTCCAACCCTCCAATCAGTCTTCCCTCTAAGAGTAGTATATAATCACAAATTAATTAAGTAGCTCAACATCCAATCAAAATCCTTTGGTTAATTAGATGAAGACATGAAGAAAAGACCGATAGATATGTTTCTGTACTTACTTGGTAAGACCCTTGACCATGCTATTGAGAATCGGTATTGAGTTTTACTAGTAGTTTGACATCCTCCTGTTCAGATTGAATGAAAGTTAAATTACGTACGTATCCAAAATAAAAATGTAACAAATAGATCATATACAAATTTATCAATATGAATTCATCATCACCGGCCTCTCACCTTGTAAAGATTATACGAATCACAAGCAAGGTCTGCTGAACTCTTATCCGGAACTTTTTCTGTACGTAACAAAACAAACCAAGATATGAGCATGAATACTTCTTTCTCTAATAATTTATACATTCGATTCCAGGTCCATATATATATATATATTAACAATACAGTACTACGTAAATGATGTTATGACCTGGATATCTATGAGTGAAATAGTCCCATCCGTTCAATGCTCTATGTGCAGCACCTTCACTCTGGTAGAAGAATTTAAATAGAATCCAATCATTTTATTCTGACAAAATATTGCCACTGTTACGAATCAATAACCAAAAGCCATATATATTATTACGAAGATATATATATATATATATGTACCTGGTATGCAGAAGTAGCTGCACCAAAAGTGAAATTCTTTGCAAATCCAGTTCGGTTGAATGTATGAACATTGTCGCAGTTGAACGGTTCTTTAGCCTTGCATCCTGGATTGCAGACTGTTTGACTATTCGAAACAACAAAGAGAAGGACAAGGATGGCTAAAGAGTAGAGAGCTTTTGGAATTGCCATGGATGAGAGATCTATGGTTTCTTTGTTGGGCTTATAGATTGTGTATATAAGTATGTTAATTTGATGATGATTAAATGATGAACTTGGAGGGAGTTTATATATAGAAAGGTTTTAGTGCATGGGACAACTTGCATGGAGATTAATGAAGTAAACTCCTTACGTATATTTGCATTCAATTTGATCACCCATGTTCTCCACCTCGCTGACTTTGTTTTCTAATATAAATAAATCACATTTCACCAAAACTATATCCCTTATAAAAGAAAAAAAACAAGAAAGTAGCACTTCGAGTTCACGGCATCATAGAGTTCCCGTATATTTGTAGAATACGTATATAGCTTTACACGATATGTAGCATGTAACATGTCTGCGTGAGAATATATGTTCCTTAATTGTAATTTAAATGCAATTTTTTAATTCAGTCAAACTATTACAGTTTACGTACCATTCATATTTCTATTCCTTTTTAATCTTGTGGATGCATGAAACTAGTTGGAGCTCGGAGGTTTAAGTTCCGTGTGTGTGTGTGTGTGTGTGGCTATAGCCAGCAGCAACCTTTGTTCTAAAAGCAAACCATGACTTGTCTCATTAATAAGTTTCAAATATTAAATTACTAATTTACAAACCCCATACAATACATTTGAATAACTCCATATTATTTGGAAAATAAACATAATTATTTGAATAAAATTACACCCAACTAGCTAATATTATATATGAGAAGTAGTTTGATTTTATTTGGAAAGATAAGATTTCAACAAACACCGAATATAATGAATTTTCTATGAAAATTAGTAAGATAAAAAAATATATCACATATAACCTGGGAGTTTTCTCTCTTCTTAAGTTGTTTAAGTTATGCGGAAAAAAAAAAGATTATGACCCCATTTCTAACCAAACTAAATCCCAAACATAATAATTATTCATAACCAAAACCAACAAAAAGTTGCATTAAGCCTATTTAAGCCAATTTAAAAGAAAAAAGTAATTAGGTTTGTACTAGCCATATAATTCATGGGTTGTACTAATAATTAACCACTTTGTGTAGTATAACCACTTTTGGTAATAAATTTGCAATATGCATACATGGTTCTCTCCATGTAAAGCTAAAACGATCGTCTCCAAAAAATGTAAAAGATATTTGCATGATCTAGCCATCTAGGTAAAGTTTGTCGAAGATTAGAAGGGAAAAAAAAAATATCGATGGAAAGAGGATAACACGGATTTTTGTTATACAGGCATTTACCAATTAGGTTTGACTTGTCATTATTGTAACAAATTATCTAAAAAGATAATATGTGTTATGACAGCATATTTTACAAGATTTACCAAGACAGTTATTATACAAAATAAAACGAATATTTCAGTTATAAAAAACACATTCCAAAAATATAACCTCTGACAGTTTTTTTCTTAAAAAACCATCACATCCTTCTTTATAAAACCCCATTTTCTCATCGTCTTCAAACACAAACACAACAACAACAATAATAAAATCTCAAGATCCTCCGAATCGATATGAATAACCTCAAAGCCGAAACAGCGGCCAAAGATGATGCGGTTCTAAAGACAGAGTCGTCGGTCGTCCCAACAGATCTTGGTGAGCCATCACCTCTGAAAAAAATCATATCGGTAGCTTCAATCGCCGCTGGTGTACAGTTTGGGTGGGCCTTACAGCTTTCTTTGCTGACTCCATACGTTCAGCTACTCGGAATCCCACATAAATGGTCATCTCTCATATGGCTTTGTGGTCCCATTTCCGGCATGCTTGTCCAGCCAACCGTCGGTTACTACAGCGACAGATGTACCTCCAGATTCGGCCGTCGCCGTCCTTTCATCGCAGCTGGTGCCGCCCTTGTCGCTGTCGCTGGTATTCTTATTGGATACGCTGCTGATCTCGGCCGCTTAGCCGGAGAAAATCTTGAAAAGACTCCGAAAGTACGAGCCAGCTGGTTCTTTGCTCTCGGTTTCTGGATCCTCGACGTGGCCAACAATACCCTTCAAGGACCTTGCCGCGCTTTCCTCGCCGATCTCTCCGCAGGAGATGCTAAGCAAACTCGGACTGCAAACGCGGTTTTCTCTTTCTTTATGGCAGTTGGAAACATTTTGGGATACGCTGCCGGATCCTACACTAACCTCCACAAGATGTTTCCTTTCACGATGACTGAAGCATGCGACATCTATTGCGCCAACCTCAAGAGCTGTTTCTTCCTCTCCATCATTCTCCTCCTCGCTGTCACCATCATGTCACTCTGGTACGTGGAAGACAAGCAATGGTCTCCCGAGAAAGGAGCCTCCAACGTGAAAACTCCCTTCTTCGGCGAGATCTTTGGAGCTTTTAGGGTCATGGAACGTCCTATGTGGATGTTGATTATCGTCACTGCCTTAAACTGGATCGCGTGGTTCCCTTTTCTTCTATTCGATACTGACTGGATGGGTCGTGAAGTGTACGGTGGAGACTCTAGTGGAGACGACAAAATGAAAGACCTTTACAACAAAGGAGTCCACGCTGGTGCGTTGGGTTTGATGATTAATGCAATCGTTCTTGGAGTCGTGTCCCTTTTTATTGAATGGATCAGTCAGAAAATGGGAGGAGCGAAACGGCTTTGGGGAGTTGTCAACTTTATCCTTGCTGTGTGTTTGGGTTTGACAGTTTTGATTACAAAGTTGGCGGAGGCTCACAGGAAAACCGCCGGTGCGTTTGTCGGTCCCACCGATGCGATTAGAGGTGGAGCATTGACAATCTTTGCTTTTCTTGGAATCCCTCTTGCTGTAAGTCTTGGCCTTTCTTTTTTTTTTTTTTTTTCCAATTATGATACTATTAATATCCATTCGTTAATTATTTTGTTTAAACTAACCATAATTTTTTGGATATTATGATAGATTACTTTCAGTATTCCGTTTGCACTAGCTTCCATTATCTCAAGCAACTCCGGCGCCGGCCAAGGTATTTCAAAATTTTTTTTTTTTTTGTCTTCCCAAGAATGGATATTCACTGATATGGATAGTGTATGGAATTTTACCAGACATGTATAGATAAGATCATAAGAAATAGTATATTTTTCAAGTTTATAATTGGTGTTGTTCAACTTTACAGGACTTTCACTCGGAGTTCTAAATCTGGCAATCGTGATACCACAAATGGTGGTGTCACTCGAAGCTGGGCCTTTCGACGCCTTGTTTGGAGGTGGAAACTTACCTGGATTTGTGGTCGGAGCAATTGCAGCGGCAGTCAGTGGCGTGGTGGCATTAACCGTTCTACCTTAACCCCTAGATGAAGACAAATAATATGGCCTTGTATAAATATGGCGGAAGTGAAAGTTGATTTGCTACTTGATGTCTATAGAGAGAAAACAAATATACTTCGTAAAATGATTGATACCACATACTGTACTTTTTATTATTTTTTAATCATTTCTTCGGTTCAAAAATGAAAAACAAGGCTTTGAAAGTAAGTCTAGGCTACCAAAACAATAAAAACCGAAATGGTTCGGATGTAGAGTGAAACCGATTGAGTTTAAGCCAGATTTTGCATCTAAAACTGGTTAGTCTATCACTGTCGGAGTCAATTCATGCAGATTCCTCTGTTTTTTTACGACAAATTAACAACCAAGTATTCAAGAAAATTGGCATAACTTTCGAAACGGAAATACCTTACACCACCACCAAATGAGAGATGAGTCAAGTGACTAAACTATCTCCAGATTTCATCTTGAACCAAGTATGTAAAGTTTTTCAATAGAATCCAGGTTCTTTAATTTTATGCACGACCTGCCATCTTTTTGCACCTCAAAAATCAAAATAGTTCTTTTTTTTCTCCCTAAAACGACTTAAAATATTTAAATACTAATATAGACTTAGCACGAAAAAGCTGTGCTTGTCTTCATATTCGGTTACACTTGCTTCAAATTTGGTTTTCTTTATAAGTAGATTTGGTGCTTTCAAACAAGTTATAGTATATGATCTTCGGCTCTAATAAAAAACGTCAATACTTTTATGCAAGAATAAGAATTTGACTTTGCTCTAGAATTTCATATAACATCCTTGGACTTAATATTTTGTTCGCGAGCGTGGTAGTTATATCAAATTAGCGCACGTTATAGGTTTTAGAAAAGTTGTCCTTAACAAGATGAGTATCGAACCAAGAACAATAACAAAGCAAGCTTCATATAAATTAAGATTTATTTATGATTTGACCTAGAATTAAGGTCCGATTATTACAACGCTTGTAAAATACACGACATATAAGCTTTAGTAATTAATTATAATATAATGCAATAGTATTATTATTAGATTTTGAGGTTGGATACATGTAACTGATTTATATTTATCGGAGACCCTTATTTTGTGATGAATTTAGAGAACCATTTGCCAGAATCCTTTTGTCTTCGGTCAATAGGATTAGTGAAGTTGACCCAGTTCATACCAAACCGGAGAGTATAACCATTTCCGAATTCGTAGTTGTCCATCAAAGACCATGCAAAATATCCTGCTACGTTGGATCCATTCCTATAATATTTATAAGACAATGTTGATGTTTTTTTATTAAAATTTATAATTCTTAAAAGAAGAAGGATATAAAGTAATATATGGATCAGATAACTCACTCGATGGCGCATTTGAGACAAGAAAGATGGCTGCAATGATTTTGAATTCTTCCTTTGTCGGCAAGAGCTTTCTCAATCGGTAAGTTTCCGTTTCCAGGATCAGCAACTCCTGCAAACACAAGATTTGATAATAAACACATATTTAGGTTTTTCTTATTGTATAAACATTTTTGAATGCAATACAAAATGATATGTACATACCATTTTCGGTAATGTAGGTTAGTGGATTTCCGTAATTGACTTTGATGTGATTTAGAATCATACGGAATCCTGGAGGATAGTAGACAAAGCTGGGAGCCTGTAGAAGAAGAAGACAATAGTCAAACCAACTTCTAAAAAAAAAAAAGAGTATTCGAGATTGTAGTTGATACTAACCACAACACCAATAGGAAC